AGGAACTGCACTGCCTATCTGTTCAGCACTATACATGCCCTAGATCCGTACAAGGAACTGATAAAATGTGTTTTCCCCCTCGACCTGTCTAGTCTTAGAGAGCCCAGAAGCATTTGATTTCTCGGGTACCCTTTTTACCACTGTATGCATTTTCCCAGTGCATGATCATTCCCTAGCACTGTATGCCCTCAGCTGAGAATGACTTGTACTCCTGAAATATTTTTAAGTGTTTTCTGCTCACCGCAGTACCAACTACCAGACCCGGAGAGAGGATGCACTTTCAGGTTATTAACATTCAGGCCTTGATTATGAAATGCAGGGCACGCAAGAAGAATACCCTGCTCTAGGCTGTAACAGTACACAGGTTAAACCAGCAGTTTCTTAGCTTATGGGGTTACTTTAAATGTTTTCTTCATTTATAAGAGCTCACATGCTGCAGCTTCTATTTCTCTACTAGTTCTAACCATTCTTCCTTGGAAAACATTAATACCTTCTAGAACAACTATAATTTTACATTATCAAATCTCTCCATGTTTTTTATGACAACCTAGTAATGCTAACAGAAAATTAATTCAATTAAATAAATTCATTTTTCTTCTCCATGACTTACAAAAAAACCCATAAATACTGGCTGTATTACTATTTCTTGATTATCTTAATCAATATGCTGCAAAAGTTTCCTATTTTATTATTGTTTAAAATAACACTTCTATAATCAGCAGCAGACAACTGGTCTGCAGAACCTTAGTAAATGGCAACCCTTGTCTGAAGAGAGACTCCAGGGCAGGTGCTGAATCTTAACTGAACACACCTTCCCCCTGCAGTTCCTCTCTCCCCTCCAGACTTCACAGCCTGGCAAGGTAAAGCTGTTCCAAACCAGCACTTTTTGATTGCTGCAGCATTCATCAAGAGCCCCGCTTGCCACTGCAGGAGCACCATCGAGGACAGTGTGTTTCAGCACCTCGTTACGTGATCTGCCAGTCATTGCCGATGTTCTTTATGCTTCACTGTTTCTTCCAGACTCTACACTCCCTAGAACACGTCATTTATCCCCACGAGAACCATGTCCCAGGGGTGGTTTTAAGCAGCTTTATGCTTTGGCTCTCAGTCCCCAGAAATAAATTTCTATAGGGAAGGTCACACAATGCCATGTGGAAGGTCCATCCATTCTCCGAGTAGTGGAGCAAATGCTTCGGAGCAGAAGCACGCAGTGACCCCTTGCCTCACGCACCCTCCAAGTGGTTTAGGTTAGGAACGCAGTTTGGATCTCAGCCCTGTGTTTAGCAGTCCTTGAGGAACTGCTCCTCTACAGAGTTATGTAACACCTTTTAAAATTCATTTGTATTTTTGACCTCCACAACACAGCGGTGGTGACGCACAATTAAATTGTGCAGTGTGTGGAAAAAATATGTCCTTTTTAATCCTGCTGCCTAGTAATTTTACCCAGTGCCTGTTGGTTGTACCGGTAAAAGAAACACTAAATACTCTTTCCTATTCATCTTCTCCACACCATTCATAATTTTACATATCACTACCACAGTCCTTCTCCCTGCCCTCCTTTCCAAACTCCCTTGCTATCTCCTCCAACAAAAGCCACCCGCACCTTTGATCACCCTTCATTTTGTAACCTTTTTATAACCTTCTGATCAGAAATGCAGTGTTCAAGATGCAGAAGAGCAGTGAAAATTCATACCGTGGCAGTATCTTCTATTTTATTCTTAATGTATACTTTGCCAATTCCCAGCATTTACTTAACTTTCCCCACCTCCTTTTTTTTAACACCCATGAGGATAAAGCAGACGTTATCAGAGAGAGCTGAGCCCACTGTGTATGTGGTGTTGTGATAATTTTCTTCCTCCTGTACACATTACTTGGCATTTATCAAAACTGAATTCCTCTGCTGTTCTACCTACTCAGTTACCCTATGTCATGAAATTCAGTAACCCTTTCTAGTCAGCTTTGCTTCTGATTATCATGAAAAATGATACATAACTTCCACAAATTACATCATCTTATTATTTTCCTCAGATTGTTCATGAATACATGGAAAAAGACAGATCACAAATTGTCATGTCAATAGTAAAGAAGCTACTTTCTCCATTCTTCCTAGCTTTTACTTAATTGCTAATCCACAAGCAAACTTTTTCTCTTACTTAATAGCTTAATAGTTTAAGAATCTTTGGAAAGGCCTTTCTTAAAATTCAAGTGCATTATGATGAGCAAATCAACCACAAGCATTTGCTTTTTGTCTCCTTCAGAAATCTCTCACAAGATCTAGACAACTGACCTTCCTCCCAAATAGCAGCGCTGACTCCCTCCAAATATACCATCTGTACCTGCTTGTTGCCTCTAGTACCTGGAGCTTGGACCAACCCACCTGGTCAGGCTCCTCTTTTCTAGTTCTTCAAGTCACTCCCAGAGGAGATCACTTAAACTAGTACCCTGGTCATCTAGCTGAAGCCACTGCTACTAGCTAAGTCACATCATGTCTGAATTCCTTAAAAATCTTGTGTTCTGGTCCTGAATATCTCATCAGTCACTCCAACACTTAAGCTCCACTGACATTTCCCGTTCCTCTGACATACACCCACCCCAAGAAAAGGCTCTGCTCTGAGAAGAATCTTCTGCGGTGAATAGAAATGCAGCATCTTGTCTGTTACAGCCTTGTTTCTCCTTGATCACTTCTTTTTATACTTTTGCTGAAGCTGGTAAGACGGCAGGTGATCAGATTTTCATTCTAATGCATGTGAACATTTTTGTACGCCTTCAACAAGTTTCCCTTTGAGACCGTTCTGGTTGCCACGTGGTAGCTCTACATTTAACTTGGCAGACTGCGTTTCTATTTTCTTTGTTCAGACACAACTTTCGTTTCCTAGGAAGATGGCTTTTAATGTTAAATAGCCTCTCCAGCTCCGTTAAAGTATACTGTCATTTCTGAGATCTTCTTGTGTTTCTGATGTGACCTGCCCGTGGGCTGAGTTTCTAATACCCCATCTTGAAGCAATCTCCTCATTACAACCCCTTAATCACTTTTTGACAAACCTCCTTGTTTTGCATAGCTCCCCTTCCCAAAGTTAAAAATTACTATTACATATTCTGACTTTATTTCTATAAGGATGCTAAATTTTAATGTATTGTGGCTACTCTTACAGAGCAGCTCTTCAGTAGAAAGATCTGCAAGCACGTAAGGTTTTGATACAATCCTGAACAATTTTTATTCTTTGCGTCCTTCAGTTTCTCTCATTGGTACAGTGTTTAAAACTTAGTTCTTGTGCTTGCATTGTGTTTCACGATGACAGCTATACAGTGTGCACCAGACAATGGATCTTTCCATTAACGCTGTACCGTGGTGAAGCTTCTCAAAAGCCAGAGAAGCCAAGACAAACCATTCGGGACTCGGCAAGATCCTGGTCAGAGGTGGAGCTGAAGATGCCAAGAGATACGTTACTCCAGCACACAATGTAGGACGAGTCAGAAGCTCAGAAAGAGGGAGCAGGAACACAGCCTTTCCAACCAGGAAAAGAATAGACTAGGACTGGATCACAGGGCCTGGAACACGGCTGCAATTAAATGGCAAATTAATCGGAAAAAGAAAACTGTTTGGTATTACCTCACCTCCCAGGCACGCAAAAGGCAACCACAAAAAAACGTGCAGAGGCCAGTTCTTACCCAGGCTGACGCAGCTCCCTGTTGTGAGGCAGATTGTTTGCTGCCAGCTCTGGAGCTGGGAGCTCACAAAAGTCTAACAGAAGCGGCTAAAACAGGAGAGTGGGAAATGTCACCGAGCACTACATACATGAAGAGGGAATGTTTCTGAGCAGACTTTTACAGGTTGGTAAGAAACCTGTGTGTGAAATCCGGGTATAGTTCTAAGCTCAAATTTGTTATGTTTATATTGTATTTACATTAGACAAACATTTCCTTTCTCAGTGTTCAGATTTGCACAAAGTATATCCAGAAAGAACAAGCTTAACAGAGCAGACTTTAAAACCTGTAACTCTCCAGCTTCACAAAGAAGCAAAATTTGCTGTGTTAGATTTAGAATGTGAATCTACACTGCCATCTGCAGAAAGCAGATTGACAAATTAATTGGCTACCAGCATAGCGGCAATTAAAAGTGCCAAAATGCAAATATTGGTATACAAGTATGGTATAGAATCAGGTGGAAAAGAGGAAGGGATATATATGCCAACACCATTATCACAGCTGACAGGTTCTGCACAACGTATGCTGTGTCTCATTAAAGGAATGTATTTTATGCTTTATTCCTTCAGTGTCTTTCTTCTCCTTTTAGTGGGAGAACGGGTGCCCTTCTGTTTCTCTCACATCCTCTCAACACCTGTTTGCCACTTTTGCAAGAGGTACTGGGGTTGTATCATGCATCTGCTGTACCACCAGCTCATTCCAAACCCTCTGTCTGAGGTGCATGGCCACTCAAGTTGAAACTGCTGTCACAGAAAGACAAAACAAAACAAAGCCTCAAAAGGCGGTGGTGACTTGCATGCCTGGCTTTGTCATGATCTGCTTCCCCTCACGTATGAGAAAGCAGCTGCGGCCTGGTGCTGTGAGCCGAGCCACATCCTGAGTGTGGAAGGCAGTTCTGCGTTTCAGGCCTGTTCTGTCTCCCTTTTGCCCTGTGACACTTATGTGCCCTAGTGACAAAATACATTAATGGTGCGTGGGAAAATCTGATTAAGAATACATGCCTTAGGGTACTCCTTATAAAAGAAAGCACTAACTTCCTCACATAACTTCGAACACACCCCGCGTTTTCTCAGGAAACGCCTCTCAAGAGAAGCCCAGAGAGGCCTGCTCCGCTCCCCCCCCCCCCCCGCCCGTTATTTCGCCTCAGATGCGCAGCCCGATCCCTTCGGGGTTCCGGCGCCGCCGGCGGCACGCCCCGAACCGCCACCACCCGCCACAAAATGGCGCCCCTCCGCCCAGCCCGAGGGCGGCTAGGCTCTCGCGAGAGCGCGGCAGGCTGGCCTCGCGAGAGCCGGGCAGGCGGAAGGGGCGTGGCCCCGCGCGGAGGGGCGGGGCGTGGCGCCGGGCCCGCTGCCGGCCGGCGAGGAGGGCGGGCGGCGGAGCGGCTGCGCTTTCCCTCACCCTCCGTTCCCTCCCCGCGGGACCGGCAACGGCCACGGCGGCGCGGGCAGGGCCCCGTCCCCCTGCGCGGCTTCCCCAGCTCCCCTCGGCCGCCCCGGGCGGGCAGCCCGCTCTCCCCGCCCCCCCCCCCCCCCCCACCGCCCTCAGGGCCGGGGATGCGCCCGGCCCCCCGCCGCCCTGAGCGCGGCCCTTCCCGCCCCCGCTTCTCCCCTCTCAGGTGCGGGCCGGGGCGGTGAGCGCGGGTGGAGCCCCCATGGTGGGCTTCGGGGCCAACCGGAGGGGCGGCCGCCTGCCTTCCCTTGTCTTCGTGGCGCTGCTGGCCGTGATCGCCGTCCTCGCCTTCAACTGCTGGAACGCCGCGTCCCGCCAGGCCCTGCTGCAGGAGGAGGTGGCGGAGCTGCAGAGCCAGGCCAAGCGCACCGAGGTGGCCCGGGGGCGGCTGGAGAAGAGGAACTCGGACCTGATGGGCAAGGTGGACTCCCACAAGAAGCAGCTGGAGCAGAAGGAGGCCGACTACAGCCACCTGAGCAGCCAGCTGCAGGCCAGGGACGGCCAGGTGAAGAAGTGCGAGGACGGCAAGGTAAAGCGGAGAGGACGGGCTGGGGGGGGGGGGGGGGGGTGCCCGGGGGGCACCGCTCGGGCTCACCCGCTGGCGGCCGGTGCCCCTGCGGCCCGAGGCTGAAATAAGCCCCGGGAGGCGCCGCGTTGGCAGTGGCTGCTGTTGGGACGTTTGCAGTGCGCTCGGGTTTCTGAAAGCATCCCGGGAAAGAGCTGAAAACGTCCAGCAAAGGCCGTGTCTGTGCGCTAACGAGCAAAACACCTCGCTGTTTCCAAGACGGCTGTTCTTAATTTTTTGTTGTTGTTGAGCTTTAATCCTGTGCTGAGATTATTTGATCTTTCGTGATTAGTCGGGAGGCTATACACAGCCTTAAAACTACAGTTGGCTTGGCCTCAAGGGAAATTAAACAAGTATAATGTGCCGGTGTAGCAGCCCTGAGCTTGTTTTCCTTGTCTCTCAAAATGCCTGGCCCATCAGGGTCTGGTTCTTATGCAGCCAGCATATATTTGAAAAAAAAAAAAAAAAAAAAAATCTTGTTGCTGACATAACTCGTCACTTTTATTACCTGCAAAGAGACAAGCTAATACAAAATTCAGCTTGCCCTTTTATGTAGAGGTGGCCCTGGGGCTTCTTTTGTTGTGGAAGGGAAAATGAATGAATGCATCAACTTTCACTGTTCCACTTTCATAATCATCACAGGCAACTCCTCACAGGGGAGTTAAGCAGACAAGTTCTTTTACTCAGTTGTGTATGGTAGTGTGTACTCTGTTTGCATGCAGTTCATAATTCTGCTAATTAAACACTGTTTATCACAGTAGGATTTATGGAAATATCAGACTCTCAGGCTTACTACTGGCTGAATTTGTCTTTCGTATCACACATTTGATGAGCAGGATAAGAAAATGCATTTGTCAGAGAAAAATCTGAGTACATACATGTCTCCTTACAGAATTAAACTCTTTCAAACTGATTAAGTTTGTATTAAAGTTATGTTTTCTTTCCTACCGAACCATTAAAATTAATACTTTTGTGTGTTCAATGAACGTGGTTTTTTACATTTTTAATTTTGTTTTTCTGAGATTGGAATAAAAAGCGTGATTAGGTATGTAATGATGGATACCAGTGCTCTCCATTGAAAATAAATGCAACTAACACCATTGTGGTTAAAAATATTGTGATACTATTAAATCTAATTAAATTTATACATAAGTACTCTATATAAATATCAAAATAGTTAAGTCTGAGTGAGAGAAACTGAACTCAGAGAAGTTAGTTTTTAACAAAGATGCTTCCCCTTGTAAAAGACAGAGAGCAAGTAGTTTTCTAAACTGCTGGGGTTTTTGTTCTGCTTTTGTATTGTTTGGGTGTTTTTTTAATTGAATTTTTACAGGCTGAGGGGCAGATAGGTTTAGTTAGTTGTTTGTTGCTCTCTTTGATAAAAGCAAGCATCCAGAGATGGTAGTAGCTTGAGAAAGCAGGCGGTGGCCAGTCATGGCACAGAGTTGGAGCCCCCTTTCTCGGGCTGTTGAGGATGGTAAAATAACATGGGGTCGTGGCTGGGCTGGGCAGAATTATGGCAGAGGTGTGCTGAAGGTCGAGGAATGCACTGAAACTGCCTCCGAGCTGCAGACTGTTGGCGAAGAGGCTCAGGGCGTTCAAGGGAAGTAATGTAGGTGGGTGTTTGTACTATGGCTGTTCTCCATGGAGGTGAAGTTGATTTTGTGTTCCCATGAGTTAGCCTGTGTTCACCGGGCAAGGAACTTGTTTCATGTGTTATCGTAACTGACTGCCAGGTGTAAAACTCTGCTGGTGGTGTCCAAGCAAGCTATCAGTTATTGGGTTGCATGGCAAGGCTTTCTTTTAATACAAGAAATTTGTATTGCTTTTTGAAATCTGTGATGTTTTACTGTAGGATACCAGTAGAGAAAATGCAAGTGTGAAGTCAGGGTATCTAGGAAGGGTTACTGGAAGCCAGAGCCTGCTCTGATGCAAGTGATACAAACTGAGGTGCTGTTGAGCTGCACCTTCCTGCTGACCCTGGTGTTCTCCATCAATCTGGCTGGTCTTTGAATCTCTGAGTCTGGCATCTCATGGGGCAGAGCAGAAGGGGAGCAAGAGAAATGTGGCTAGTAAACCTCTCAGATTAATTTTATTGCTAATTGTATGCATACTGCAGTATATACCCTGTATCTTTGGTCTTTGTTCCAGAAGCTGCCATTTGAGGTCATGCGAGCTAGTAGCTTTTAGCTCTTCCCGTGTTCAAAATGTTCAGTGTGCCTTAATAGGCAAGTGTAGCAGTATGTTTTATTAATAACCAGTCACTGTCCCTTTCTCATTTTCTCCCATGTGAGCTACTGTCATGTTCTCAGTGGCAACAATCCTATTTTTTTCTAAAAAAAAAAAAAAACCCAAAACCTTTAAGTGACTGTACTTTAGAGAGTACAGAATAAAACTCTGCTTTAGAGAATGAAGATCTGTTACAAAAAAATAGTGAGTTGTAGGCATAATGTGTCTGACAAAAAAAGGTTTAAACGATAATTTTTTTTCTCTCAAAATAGAATTAGGCAAGGATGTTCTTTGAACAGACTGCTTTTTATTAATGATCTTAGTCCACCTCTGAAACACAGGAGCTATAATAAAACACCTACGCTGGTAATTGCCAGGGTATCGAGTGATCACGAGAGATCTAGGCTTACTTCATAGACGACTCATTGGAAAGATGCTACTCTGGTGGTTATCATAGTGTCAGTTCTGCTTTATGCTCCGTTGTCTTTAAGAGGTTCTTTGCCTTGTGGTCATGTAAATCAAGTGTGCAATTCCCAGTGTTGGGGCAACTTGAATTTCTGCAGGCAGCTTCCTCCTACCTCAGTGATATCAGTAGTCAAGCCCAAACCCTTGTCTCTCTCCTCCCTCCCCTGCATGCGTAACAAGGCAGTCACACTGCACCAGAATATTGTTTGCTCTTATGAGCAGATGCAGTAGCATGACCTAGTGTCTTGTGTTCAAATAAAAAAAAAAAAGAAAAAAAAAGCCTGAGTTCTTGAGAATTCTCCTGTTACCTTGTGAGGAGCTCGTGATGGTCTGCCGGACCTTGGAAAAAAACAGGAGTTCTCTTTTGGAGCTCCTCTTGGGAGGCAAACAGGGCTAGTGGTTGCCTTGACGTTTTGGGGGGGGTGATGCATGCAGAGGTAGCGCTGGTTTCCTGAGTTTGCATGCTCTTTTGCAGCATACCATGAGGATACTTTTTTTTTTTTTTCATTGCTTTACACATCCCTTTGCAATAAGCTCAATAAAATGATTGAATGACAGGAATTTGTGGTGGAGAGCTTCCAAATGGCAACCATCCAGTGTGTAGGGGTTCGTAGCTCTGTATGTGCTAGTGCAGCTCTCGGGAGCATGGCTTTCTCATTCCAGAGCTATTGCTGGCCATGCCAGCTGTGTAATACAGCCTTGCCCCTGAGCTGGTGCCTAGAACTGGTGCTTCGTAGGATGAAACTGTTTAGTAAAACATCCTTGGGAGCAGCCGGTTGTGTGCTTTTTTTGCCAGAACTCCTTGAGAGCGCCTCGGTTTGCACCACTGTGGCTTTGCAGCAGTGATGTTGAGTGCATCTTCCAATCTACTGCATGTCCCTGATGATCACAATGTCATCTCTGACGCTGTTCTGATTGCTTGATGATAGCACTGCCTGTTCTGAAAAAGGCAGTTAACGATAGTAGATCATGGAATCGCAGCATGTAGACCCTTGTGCAAACAGACTTTTAAACAGCTTTCCTGTGCTGCTCCAGCACATGTCCTGGCAGTGCGTTGGGACTGCCCAGACGCGTGAAGCTGCGCAGAGCAGTTTGGACACAAGCAATTCAGAGGGTGTTCTTGCTAGGTAAAGAAATGACTCAGAGGGAAATATGGGTGGAGGTTTACAATTTACCGCTTATGCTGTCGGAAAGCAGTACCACCTGTGTTCTGTCCTGCCATACATAGAGATAAGCTCCAGCGTGTTTCTAGCTTTCTTTGCTTACATTGCCTTTCATTATGTGACAAGACTGTTAGAGTTCAGACAGCACTGGAAGCTTGCCTTGCATGTATATAGCTCCAGCATGCACAGGACTTCTGGTGTTTTTCTTTTCCTGTGCAGAGCTCACTGGGCTACAGAGAATTCCTTTTATGCATCCCAACTGCTTTGGGAAGGATCTGAGAAGCCACTGAGACATATGAACATCACAAATAGGTCTAGACTCAAGGAGGACACAGCTCAGAAGGAACTGGACTTGAGCCATGGTTTGTGGAGTGTGGTTTTTTTTGCATGTGTAGGTGGAACAGATCCCATGAATCATAAAAAAGCTTCGTTGCTTTCTCTCCTTCAGATGAGGGACATTTGCTGTCAGCTGAGCTGTTTTGGATATAAATTCTGTCACTTTTCTCTGAAACTCAAAATTGCCAAAATGAAAGATTGTGCGATAAAACCGATGCTATCTTCAAATCAAACTCCTGTGAACAGACAGGCAGCCCTCCCCCAGCCCATTGCAAGTCAAATGTTTTATAGGATGAGCAGAAGCAACCCGGTGGGAAGGCTTTCTGTAGTACGAATTCTGATAGATGGAAGTTTGAAAATGGAACCTGCTACTTCCCAGCATCTCCTTTGTTTCTAGATTTATTGGGTTCTGGGGAAGAACTGCATTAAGAGTGGAAGACAGGAAGAAACTTGGTTGTTATTGCCAGTGGCTTTGCAGAATAGGAGAAGATACTTTTTCGTTAACACTCAACAGTTCACTCTTTTTGTATCCGTTCCCCTGTCCCCATGTCCCTTGATGCAGAGCTGACAAGTTGGGCGCCTGTTGGAATAGAAAGGCACTGCGGTTACGTTTGTCTTGTGCCTCTGTGTGGAGTCCCCACTGCGGGGGGGTTACTTGTTCTTTTGAAATAAAGCACAGGAAGTCCAACACAGGCTTTGTCTTAACTGAGCATCCTTCTTTGGCGTCCTGTAACCGGGGTGCATTAAATGTCTTGATGGGCAGAGCACGTGTAAGCGCTTCTCAGATGCGTGGCTCTAGCATGCCAGGAAGGCTCCTTGAGTGTCCCCGTTGGGTGCTTTTATTTTGCCTGGTATTTCAGAGCAGTGTGGTCAGGGTTCTCAGGTTACCAAAAGATTGCATCATCTGCCATTCTTTCTATTTTTCGGGAAAAGCCTTGTGAGGTGGCTGGGCGTTCCGGCGGGTGACGGTGGTGCCTCTCCAGAAACCCTCTTGGCTCCTGCTGGGGCCCGGGGACAGGGTCCGCTGCCAGGGCTGAGCCAGGAGACTGCAGGCTGGCACAACCCGAGCTCTCCACGGAGCGCTCTGTTTCATAAGGAGCCTCTATTATGTGACTGGAGCTCTTGGATGCGTGCCTCCGTGTACGCTCTGTTCTGCAGAAAATCACGATTTCAGCAGTTCTGCTGTGGCCGTAGTTCCTGAAGTTATAAACGCCTGCCACAACCCATCTGGGACAAACTGAATCAGACGGCCCAGAGCTCGAGTGCCTCGTTTAAAAACAAAAACGCTACATGAAACGTTTTTAAAGAAATGAATAATTTGATAAAAGAGAAGGCAGAGGTGGGTGGAGGAAGTCTTAAAGTAAGGGCACATGTCGTCTTTGTTTGTTTTGACAGGAAATGTGGGTGACTGACTCATACATTGAGCTGCAGAATCTGTGTGGGAGCTGAAATACCCTGTGTGTGTGTGTGTGTGTGTCCTGCCCCCTGGCAGAGTAGGTGTGTTCCTCCTGCATTTTGGTATTCCAAGAGGTAATTCTGACCTTGTAACCCAAGAATGACAACCCTCTTTCAGCATCTCTTCTAGAGTTACCATTTATATTGATCATGAAACTACAAGAAAAATAATTACAGCACCAGTGCTGCCTGATGACAGTGGTGGGGTTTTTTCACCCTTTCTCAATGTGTTCTGCATGTGCATCTTTCTCTTAATTTCTGCTATTTTTTTGTCTTTACATATGTCTTTATGTAAGAACAAGACAAAGCATCTTAATGACTTTGTGTACATTCATTTCTTATTTATTGTAACTGCTATTTTTTCCTCACTAAAAATACCAAATTAAAAGCTGTTGTGGAAGTCTACTGATGTCACATTCTCTCTTAAAAATAAAAAGTGTGTAATTAATATCAGGTAGCATCACAAAAAAATTTACTTTAAATGTACGTTAGGTAAAAATTGTTTTTTTTCTAATGATGCTGTGTGCTTATTTTTATACACTTAGGCTTTGACATTGGAAATTCACTGTCTCCTTCTGCAGTATCAGAATGTGGTGTGTTTATTTTAGTCCTGAGAGGATCTGCTTTTTTGATAGAAATACACTCTGGAAATAAATTCAAGTCCTTGCTAGCAAAGCCTAAATACAGTGTTTAGGTTGGTGATCTCACTTACAGATAACTGAGTATACATTACTTATATTTACAAGAACTCTGTATACGTTGTTCTGATAATCCTTCACATATGTTGTCTTTGCAATGAAAACAAATGCATTCGAGTCTTCGCAGTCTAACCCCTCTCTAACCTGCTGATTGTCTGTATTTATGTAACTGTTTCTTCCTTTCAGATTAAGCTGCAGAACAACATATCCTATCAAATGGCAGACATACACCGTTTAAAGGGTAAGGAATTTATGGCCAAACAGGGCTTTGGAAGACTGTGGAGTTGTGTATTTTTTCACTGCCTAGGTACTGCAGAATACATTTTAAATGAAAGATCAAGCGATGCGGGAACATCACATATTGTGAAATTTCGTTCTGTTTGTTTATTACCTGCTCTGGCTTAGCCTAGGGTTGGCTCTCATAGACTTCACTGTCTACGGAAGGAACATGTATTCTGGCACTGCTTATTTCCAGGATATTAGAATCATTTTTGTGACCAAATACACATTTTAGTATAGTTTGGATCTGCAATGTTGTGATACTTATGTTGGGTTAGAAAAGGTCCAGAAAACATCTTTTAAGGCTGATCTATCCAGACGTGATTACAATGCCTGTAATCTTACTGTGTGGATTTCAGAGCGACCTGGGACAGCTAATGCCAAAATTTGAATGTGCCTGCAGGCAATGTGCTTGGCATTTCTGCCTGTATCTATGTAGTTGCAGCTTAAAATATTAGGAAGCTTAACAATTACTTGTAGTCTGAGGAGTGGGGAGGAGGGCTTCTAGAACAGTTGTGAAGATAGAAAATATGTATTGGTTTTCTTGATAGTGTGAAGGTACCTTCTGTTGTACGCTTATTGCAGAAAAAGAATATTTAACCAATGTGCTTAAAGTAATCTAGTAGTACTTGTGTTACTCAATAGCAGAATCTTTCAGGAAATTAAGGAGATTTCCAACAGATTGGTGAAATAGCATTGTGTAAGTCTTCTGAATAAAAGGTAAAGAAAAATTCAGGTGTTTTGGCATAGTATCAGAAGAATTGTTCTCTAATTCATACTGACATCTAGCAGACATGAGTAAATTGGCATCTTTTTTCAAGTTAAAGAAACTTTAAAGTGTACTTAGAAGAAATAACATAAAACTTGAGCAAATTTTTAACCTATATAGCAATATTGAAAGTTGTATCAGCCATGGGGCGTTTTTTTCTTATATTTCTATATTCATGTTGATTTCTGTGTTTTTGGTCTAGAACAACTAGCAGAATTACGTCAGGAATTCATTCGCCAGGAAGATCAGCTTCATGAGTACAAGAAGAACAATACTTACCTGACAAGGAGGCTGGAATATGATAGGTATGTCTTCAAGAATGTTAGCAACTGTAGGTTTGTGTGTGTGTAATGGAGATCTGTATTTATTAAAAAGTGCAAATTAATCCCGTTCCTGTTAATCCTCAAACTTGAGTGTACTCGCTTGGTGGTATGACTTTGACTTAGCTAGTTTTTTGATTTTTAAAGTTCTGTTTTTTGGGATTGTTCTACTCCTCCCCCAAAGTGAGATATGATGTAAGAAAAAATATGTCTGTCTGGAATTTTTCCACATTGGACTATTTTAAGTCAGTGCATTTTTTTATAACATGGGAATCTTGGTTAACAAATACTTGAAAGAGTTTAATCAACACAGTTCTGTATGCTACCAAGGTTGTTAATTGCTGTTTCTCTAAAAGTGTAATTTTACCTTTTTCAGCTGAAGCTGTGAAAGCATTGTGTATATTGAAATTTTAAGTTGACCTCAGCCTTTTAAGTTTATGAGGGAGAAGCAGGGAGAACAACTACTTTAGAAGCTTTGAGGAATGGGGGAGATAAACCCTTGAGAAAGAGTTTGAGAATTTCACACACAAATATTCTTTATGTGCCATGTTGAGTGCTTGTGGGGGGCGGGAGTTTTGTTGAATTGGGTTGATCTCTGTGTGGCTTGTTAGAGAAGTTGGGACACTTAGCTGTGTCATTCAGATCTTGTTACTTGAGTTGGTAGGAGTAACTGATAGTAGTGGTTGTGCATCTTCTGTGTTGACAGCCTTGGGAGATAGATTGCTTTCCTGGTGGAATTAATATATGCTGCTGACAGTTTAACTGTGAAGCTTGACTTTTCGGTTGCTTTCCAGGTTTTGGAGGAAATATGTTCAAGGCCATTCTGTTTATTTTACTGTTTTTCTGCTCGGACCCTTCCCTGTTTTTTCCAGTTCTGCTTTCTTTCTGTATTCAGTCCATTTCCACTCCATACACATTTCAGGACAAGGCTTTTTGGGCAGACTATGCTAGTTATATCTCAGGTTTGGCTTTTTGTGCCACTTAGTATTTTTCCCCTGATTTGATTTATGGGAGAGCAGTTACAACAAATGAAATGTAACTAATAATGTGTTTCTAATCAAGTCTGCAGTGTGGGCAGCAGATTAAGGAAATGAAACTGCAACATGAAGAAAACATAAAGAAATTAATGGACCAAGTTGCGCGGGAACAAAAGGTAATGCACAGCTAAGTTTCTTTGTTGAATTAGAAGAGCACAAAGTCTGCTGTTTCTTTGACTCAGCATTCCAGATACACGGAGGCCTTGGACGTTTCTCCCCTAACTTTTTGTTAAATGTTGTCCTGAGTGGCCCTGAATGGATATTAGTGTAAGAACATCTGCCTGCTTTGCTCGGTTAGTGAAGTAAGCCTTGAAGACCAGGCTTAATTCTTTGCTCTGCTGCAGCCTTTCTACGTGACATCATTGCTAGGGATTTCAGTTTCTTCTCTGTAAAATGGATATTACTTTATAGCTCTCCAGGGTAGGATCTGTGTTCTTACAACCTTACACAGGTTATTGCAAAGGGGAACCTGATCTCTATTGAGGCCTTGAGGTGCTAATGTGATGCAAATAAGGATGGTATTTGAATGGTATCAAGGGTGTAATTATTTGGTGCAGGCTATCGGTAGAATACGGGCCTCTTTCCTACAAACAGATGAAATAACTGCTTTTCTGAAAATTGCATTTCCTTTCTTTGTCTCTGTTTACAAACATTTCAAGTAATAAGGCAGACTTAAAAGTAGAATTTGGTCAGATCTTTTCTTAAAATCCAGAGTTGTTTCGAAGTCTGACCTGAGGCTTAAGGCCAGTGATGTCTTGACTTGTTTGTGTTATACTGAAGAGCTACATATGCCAATAGAAATGTCACACAGCCATGCTGTATTTTACATTTTCTGTTCAGTTTTGTGTCCGTACTTTCATCTCCTCCCCTCAGGATATAGAGGACTTCTGCTGTTGTTTGCTTTGGTGATCATCTGATTCCTAAATGCAATGTTTGCTTACCCAAAGTAATCTTTGAATGTGAGGGTGCTTGCTTTGTAATTTTCAGGGATGTGCTTAATATTGGTTCCTTATGAATTTGTTGTAACAGGCCACACAAAAAATTCAGTCCAGTAAAGACAGTGAAGTAAGTCCCAGTAATGATGACCAGGCAATATCTAAGACTGTTCCAGAGGCAGAAGATAAAAACACAGTAAAGAACGAGCAGCCTTCAGATCATGTTGTAAATGGCAAAGGTATTTCCTTTTTCTTGTCATTTCTGACAGATAATGGGACAATTGTGTTGCATCCTTTGCTATCCTGCAGAATCATACATCACTCTGAAGTAGAGCAATTAATTAATTGGCTCAGACAACTTGATTAGGTGCATGTGACTGTACTAAGTTAGAGCTTATAGGTATCCAGAGATTGGTGTGTCTCTTCTCTGGGTCCTTTAATGAAAGTAGTTTCTTGTGCGGTTTGGTGTTCACTTTGTTGGCTCATTTGGCATCTCCTTCCTCCTGTGGCCAACTGTGAACTGCGGGTGGCCTCTCCACTCCCTCTGAGATGTGTCTTGGGGTGATCTGGGAAAGGGGCACGTTGTTGGAGAGCTGGAATCTGCCCAGAGGAGGTGGTGGGGCGGGAAGCCTCAGCTGGGTCGGCAGGAACAGGGGCCCCGCTGGTTATCGGGGGCTGTACAGGAGGCTCTAGTGAGTAACTACTGAAGTTGTTGTCTCCCTGCAGGCCTCTCTGAAAGGGGTTGCCTTTGTTTCTACTTCTTGTGCTGCTGAATCAGCACCTTTTTGTATCGGTTCAGTGTCTGTTCTGGCCAGCTTCTTGCAGCAGGCATCTCTTACTCTGCTACTAAGAGCAGTGCATCCGTTTCCCATCCTTTCCTGCAGATTGCACGCACTTTGGGAGTGCTGCTCCAAAGCAGACTCCAGTGACTTTGACAGTGCAATAGGAGGAGTGTTGTAGTTGCGTTATCAACATGGGATGTGTTCCGGGGGTAAAGGAATTCTCTGGTCTCGGAGCCTTCCACAAGAGGGAGATTCGCTGTTCAAACTTCAAGGTTAATAAGGCAGAATATCCTATTCTTGTCTTACAGAGAAAATCAAACCAGGAGGAGATGCAGGCATGCCTGAAATAGAAGATAATGATCCTGCTAAAGCTGAAGATACTCCCACTGGTTAGGAGAAATATTCTAATACTTTCACCTTTGGGTTCTTGGTAGCGTATATATTCTGCTTGAATACCATGTGTTTCACAGTGAATGCAAAGTTTTAAAATCTGTCTATGGTAATAAAATTCAAGTGGGGTGTAAAATCTGATAATTTTTACTGTGCTTTAGAAATTTGAATTCTCAAAACTGAATGCTTCTGATAATTGTGTGTCCCCTGCCAAATCTTATATTTTATATTTTCATCCATGGTTTCAAAATAAGAAAACAACAACAAAAAGGTTTACAGGCTTGTTCGAGGACAACCTGGTATATAGTGTCTGTTTCATGTTAATGCTTTTGTCCATGTATTTTGTTTTAGCTTTAAAGAAGCCACTTATTTCAGCTCCTAAAAGTGAAGGTGGTCAACCTGTTATAAATCTTCCAACTGAACAGCCCCACGCTCCAAATCTGGCACCAGGTAAAAAACTTATTTGCAAGTGACAAATCAACATTTTGTAGGAAACTTACCATTTAATATCTGCTATCCTGTCATGAATGTTAGATGTACATGGCCAGCCCCTTTTTCATGTTTGATGTGGTGACAAAAAGAAAAACGATGATCAATTTTTGCCGGATACAAGATTGAGTCTGGCTTCCTGAGGTTGCGGGTTGTACGATCTCTCTTCATACACCCCACCCCTCAATAATTTCTGAGCCTTTTGAGCAACTTCAGCCAAATTTGAGAGTTAGAAGTTTGGCAGATAAATGCTTCAAGATTTCTCCACTGGACAGTGGAGAATAATTGAAATTAGTGTTCCTCCTTAGGGGAACTAATTACAGGGCTTCAACACATCATCAGGAGTTGATTGATTTCTTGGTAGCCGGTTATATTCAGAGCTTCACCAGCGGTACTCTCACTTGCTCACAGAAACAGGAGGACACCAGACAGCTCACTTGAGGGTGATGTGGGGGAGGTTTAGGACATGAGAGAACTAAAAGTACTGTAGTGAAAGGGTTTAGGAGAATTGCAGTTAGAAACGACACAAATCCATAGAAAATATACTTAAATTTAATGCTCATGGATCAAGTCACTTTAATGTCAAACACTGCAAGTGGCACGTTCAAATACTGTCCTGCTAAAAACCATTAAATATAATGTACTCGTTATATATCTGTGACGTGACCAAACAGCATGAAGTTTTTTTGTTATGCTCATTATTGATTCATTTGAAAAAAGGCAACAGAAGTGTTTCTTAATTATTTTCTTCTTGCAGTGGATATATAAGCAGATCAGAATAACGAAACTAGCGAGCTCAAAGTCTGTATACGCAGTTAAAGTTTACTGTTTCCAAATGTCAAATATTTTAAATAGCTTATTTCTTTTTGTTGTTCTGAGGTAGTCCTTCATTTTGACTTTTATTAATGAGACAACTTAAAAGATAGCAAGTGAAAAGCTTGCTTTGTTGAATTGAGAGTTTATCAACAGAAAGTTGGTGAGAATTTCAAGGGGACCAGGGTTTTCTGTATTTCTTGGTTATGTAGTCCTGTGATGCTGCTTATTATTTTTAGCATAACTTCTGTGACCTGCTGCAACCTTCTCCTCAGATCATAGCTCTTGAAACAATAAATGATGCTTAGTAGATTTGAAAAGCAGAATCAGCGGGAGGATAAAAAAACACATAACCGTATTATTGTTCTGGGTTTCATCAAGTGCTTAAGTACATACGGAAAATCAGCTGAGAAGGTCACGACTTAGGATTGATTATGTATTAAACTGTGATGAATTACCTTTTGCAGTAACATTGTAGCCTTCTTTTGGAACCATGTAAAAACCCAACGTGCTTCCTCATTGTAGGTTTGCACAGTGATGATGATGGAAATGCCGATATTGCGAAGCAGATACCTCCAAATTCTCTCCAGCACTTAAATTTTGAAGAAAATATGGAAAATCAGAAAGAACACAAAATTGAGACAGACCATATAAAAATTCCAAAGAGCAGACTTAGTGACTTGCAGAAGATGAAGCAAAGTAAGTTGGCCAATATCATATACTTTGATATACTGAGAAAATCACTGCACTTTCTATCTGTTATAGTGCCTGTCTGGGAAGTAGGAACCGTTATGGCAGGTGGCCTTCTGGAGAGTAAGCCCGAAAAGGAAGGTTGTGTGTTGCTCTGTAAAAGATATGCCTTAATGTGTCATCTTTCATATATGTATATTCAGTCATTAAAAAAATTATTTGCTTATAGGAATTTAAAATGCTTTTGGAAATTACTACACATTTCAATAGATTAAGTCAAGACTTTTGATACATGCATGGTACGGAGTTACTTATATTCACACTGTGTCACTTTACTAAAATACGGTATTTTGCACAATAGCATAAGAACTCAGCCCTTACATAGGGGGTCTTTGTGGTTGTGTATGTGTATTGGCCAGAAGTTCGTTCTTCTGTGTGAGGAAGTTTTCCAGAAGCCCTCTCAAGGAAGAAGCCTTCAGACAGGAGCAAATCATTATTTGTTTATGGTGCAGGATGGTGGTAGCACAGCTGAGGCTTGGTGGGCAGGCAGCAGGTAAGAACTTGCAAATACACATACAGCTGGCTGTGTACAGCGGGTTTTGAGATGCAGCTCGACCTTGCAGCTGATGTGTAACATTGGGAGAGAGTTTATGCCTACAGTGTTTGGTTTAGCATCTTCCTGTGCGTCGTGGTTTAACCCCAGCCATCAACGGAGCACCACGCAGCCGCTCGCGCATACCTCCACCATCCCCGTGGGATGGGGAGCAGAACCAAAAAAAACCAAAGTAGAACCTGTGGGTTGAGATAAAAACAGTTTAATAAATAAGATACAATAATAGCAATGAAAACGAAGATAACGAAAAGCGAGAAATAAAAGCCAGGAGGAGACAAGTGATGCCCAGTGCAGTTGCTCACCAGCCGCTGACCGATGCCCCAGCAGCGATCCGCCCCTCCTGGCCAGCCCCCCAGCTGATCTACTGGCCATGACGAGCTGTGGTATGGCACAGCCCTTTGGCTAGCCGGGGTCAGCTCTCCGGGCCGTGCTCCCCCCCAAATTCTTGTGCACCTCCTTGCTGGCAGAGCACAGGAAACTGAAAAATCCTTAATTTAGGATAAGCCCTACTTAGCACCAACTAAAACATCCGTGTGGTATCGTCATTATTCCCGTACTGACTCCAAAACGCAGCACTGTACCAGCTACCGGGAAGAAAACTGACTCTGTCCCAGCTGAAACCAGGACACGATAGGAACATTATATTGAAACAAGTTTCTTATGGTATCAGTGGAAATACTATGCTCCTAAATATGAGTATAGAGTATACTGACTAGGTATACCTTAACCTAGTTATTTTCCAAGAACTGATTCCAGTTGTTTAGCATTTGGATGAGGAAGAGGCATTTGGCAGAAAAAACATCGTGGTGAAACGTATTTTCTTGTTTTTGTTTTTGTGTTTTTTTTTTTTTTCTTGGTCCCAATAAGCTTTTTCTTTATTTTATACAGCTATTATAAATTCAACTTTAAATTTCTTTATATCCACAGCTAAGTAGGCTTTGGTAACTTAGGTGTTGGTTTCTATGATTAAAATCTGCCTGTACTCCAAGATGGCAAGTTACGGCAGCAGAACAGCCATCTTCCGAGTCATGAGAATGGGGAGGAGAAAAAGGGATTCTATTAACACAGGAAGCGGTGTTAGTTCTGTGGATTGGATAAACAGTAGGACAGAAATAGTAATTTTGTTGAAGTAGAATCATGGATTGGTTTCAGTGATCAGTGAAAAGAATTCTGAAAGCTAGGGTCACTCTCAGGAACATGAAACTATTAATTAATTTTTGCCATAAAAGGTTTCATTTGGGAAGTTCCCTTTGTTAGAGTGAAGTTGTTGCGGTTCCTTTTCATGGTCTAGAACTCAACTGGCTCTCCTGTAGCTTTGAGAAATTGCAAGAGGTTAACACTTTCTTGCAATCTCTTAAATATTCCTTGAACAGCAGAGAAATACGTCTAAAATGATACTTTATTATCGTGAACTGTTTTAGTTGCTATTCTGAAGCAGAGGTTGGATTAAAACAGGGCCTGTGAGCACACAGGCAGATTGGCTGGCAGGTAGCTGCAGGGGCTGTGTGCCATGAGGGGTGTACGGGGTGGGGGGGTTGAGCGTGTTCTCTCCTCCTCCCCCCAAAGGGTCAGAGGCTGTCGACTGTGCCGAGCCTCATCCGAGAGGGGTAAGAAGCTATCCAAAGTGGTTTCTGAACCATTACCAACTTTGGGAGCAGTACCATCATACTGCAAGAAGACGTCTTTAAAAAGGGAATGGAAAGAGGATTTGAGGAGTTCTGGAGAGCCAGCAGCCTAGCTTTGATACCTGGAAAGGTAACTGAACAGTCTCAGTTGGTTTGAATACAGTACGACAAGTGGTTAACACGGGTTTTTTTCAAGAGCAGTTTGTGTCAAAGTGATACGATCTGAAAAGTATATATTCAAAGAATGACAGCAGTAGAAACAGGGATGTGAGTTTGTCATAGGCAAATTGCTGGAGATCTGGTCAGGAATAAAATGCTCTTTGGTGGGCACACAACTTTAAGAAAAGAATATTCCAGGCATAGGTGTGACTGGCAGTTTTACTTGAAAAGTTTCTGTGAGGTTTATGAAGCTGCATCCTTTGCTTGGCTTGTTTGGTCTTTTGAGTGCTGAATGATAAACAATGTATGAGACTTGGTTTCAGCAACATGAGAGTTTGTAAACATAAAAGTAGTCTGCAACTAAAAATGGAGAATTAGGTGTGCAGAGGAAGTGACAAAGGGCAAGTGAGCAGTTCAGTCAAAGCTGATGTGGCCAACAGTGGATATTGGTCACTAACAGATGTTTGAAGTGAGGTTTTCAGTCTGGGATGTGTTAACCGGAATGTCAAATAAGATCATAAGATGGTGCAACTAACTGTTTTACCTAGTGCTTGTGGGGCCATCCTCTGGCTTTAAATATCAAAGAAAGATGATATGAAGCTAGAAGGAATTCAGGGGAGAGGAAAAAAAAAAGAAAGTAGGGTTTAGTATGAGGGGAAAAAAGCCTAAAAAGACCAGGGTTGAAGAGATAGGGAATGGACATTGATTTACTGTTGGGGCTTGGGTGGTGGGTTTTTTTTTGTTTGCCTTTTTTTTTTTTTTTTTGATGGTGTTTTTTTTTGTTTTGTTTTTTTTTTGTTTTTTTTTTTTTTTGTTTTGTTTTTTTGTTTTGTTTTGTTTTTTTTTGTTTTGTTTTTTTTGTTTTGTTTTTTAAGAAACAGATCATTAGGAAAGGCTTCAGTTATTTTAATACCATTCACGGATCTTTCTGATGAAGTGTGGGTAGGTGTATTCAGAATTGGCACGCAATCTGTGCAAGCTTTTCTTCCGCTCTGTGTATCCTGAGATTTGCAAGACTATTGAGTTTATTGAAGGAGCTTCTTGAAGATCCTCTGCTTGTCTGTCTGCGTGACTACTGCTGAAGTGACAGGGCTTCATATTTCAGTTGAGGCTTTTAAATGGATTGGCTGTCTTCCCTGGCAGTGGATTAAATGATGGGGGGCCTAGCTTTGAGGGCAGGAGCAGCGAAGGAAAAGTCTCTGTAGGCTGTGAATGGGTACCTAGAGTCAGTCGCCATCACCGATCGGTCTTTTCCTTTTCTCTTTGCTCCTTCCCAGCTGCAATCACTTACACTGTACACTGACGAGGCAATGAGGAGAGGCTTCCTCTATCGCGTATGGAAATAGCTAATCCAGGTTTGGAGGGGAATTATTTCCTGGTTGGTCAGCAGTGGCTGCTCTGGAAGGTCCATCGGTGATCAAGTGATCCCTCTGGAATAGCGGAGCCCGGCTCTGGCACCTGGCTTCTGCTGGAGGCGATTGCCTGGCTGGGGTGCTGGTTACTGAGCACTTCAGACCTTGCTGTGCATCACCCCGGGGGATGAGACTAGGAACCATCATTGGGCAGGGGATCTGCCGTAGCTGTCCGGTCTCAGAATCAGAGAACTTCTTCCCAAAAGACTTTTTTTCTCTTTTAATTTGGTAGCGTAGATTTAAAAAGCAGCTTTGATACCTGGTACAGAGATGGGCACATTGTGGCTGTTTGGGTTCAAAAGAAGCAGAACCTGAAAGCGACTGCAGCGGCGTCACTATTTGTGCTCTTACCTGGTGTCCTGCAAAAATGCCAGGTGCAGCAAACCTCCTGTGCACGCTGCTGTTCCCAGTTGTCCTGGAAGCAGGTCCTGACTGGTGAGCATGTGGGCAGCTGCTCCCAGTGGCGCGTTTGTAGGGATCCAGCTTTGAGTAGTAGCACATGTGGCTATTCGAGATTCATTTTGGCGAATGTTACTTGCAGATTTTAGCATCAGTGGCATCCTTACGGGGCATCTTGTGCTTCAGGACACCGTACTCCACTGTGCCTCACGTAGCCAGTCACGCAGCGCCTGCAGTGCAGACACTGACTCGGGCTTGGAGTGCTTTGAGAGATCCGCACCGCTACCGGGATTCCAGATCTTACCTGTCTGTTGCAGAAAGCAGTTGGTGCAGTGCTGGGTCCAGCTACCTGCGACTCCTGGTTGGTGTTTGCCTGAAGTCTTGGTATCCCAGGACCATAATGTGAGCCTCGTTTGTTAGAGTGTCGATGTTCTCCCGCCGTTGTGTGAGCAGGCATCTGCTGCCCAGGTCTTTTGTTCGCCCGACTGCGCGCCCAGGCAGTGGAGTTGCTGTCAAGCCCGCCTAGCTCAGAACGGCTGCTGGTGAGATTCGTGTGTTCAGCCTTTCCTCCCTTGGCCTGAAGTAGCTTGAGCTAAAATACCAAACGCTTAAAGCAGAGTGAAGCACCTGTAGGGAGGAGCAGCTGCATCCTGAGGCTCTGCTGGGATCTGAGCTCGCTGGGGTGCTCAGGAGAGCTCCAGCTCACAGGGCTCTGTGCCCGTGCTCTGTGTCCCAGGAGCTCTTCCTAATATTTTAACCTTTCCTTCTGTCAGCTTAAATTTATTCAGTACTTGTTTGTCACAGTATTTCTGGCATATTGACAGGCTTTTGTTTTCTGTAAGTTAAGTGCATTCAGTTGTCTTTCCATAGCTTGTTTTATATTTAACATGTGCGAATTGTACAGTTCTGTCTGCATTTTATATACAATGCAGTGTCCAAAAATACTCAATTAGAGATGAATAGAGAATGAGTAATATATTAAACTCTGGCTTTCTAAACAGATGATAGTTTCTTCTTGCTTATTTTATGAAAATAACTGAAGCTTCTGTTTCTGTACGTTTTGAGCTGCACTAGATGTGATTCTTCTGCTTTTCTTCCCCACCCAGATAAGGACTATGCTACTGTTTCTGTCTTGATTTTTATATACTGCCACATATATGATAGTTTTCATGGTTTTAAGAAATAATTTCATTTTTACATCTGTCCATTGTAACCCCAACCTCCTTTTCAATCCTAATGTTGTAATCCTGTTCTTTAGTTTTACTTCTCTGTTTAATTGCTTCCACTGCGAATCACTTAACATCTGCCTTGGCAGACTTTTTTCTCAGTCCACTTCCAGTCTGTAAAGATCGTATCACACTTGAATACTTTTTCTTTTTTCATTTATACAAAACCCCTCTGGACTTGTATCCTCTGCAGACTCAGCGTTGCATTCTTTAGGCAACGGGCAAGCAGACGGAACTGCATTGGATTTGAACAGACCTCCTTGGATCCCATTAAATACCAGCTCTGAACTTGACATCACACCATTAATCTTTCAGTGTGTGCTTGGTTGACTGTCTAGTCATTTCACTGTTCCAGCTAATTCTCATTTTTCTAGTGCATTGTTTCAATATCTGGAATTATTCTTAGTTCTTTGCTGGTAGACAAAAATACTGGATTCAGAACAGTTTGAAAACTGTTAAAGCTTACTAGGAAACCAGAGTGTGAAGCCAAATTAATTAGGTAGTTAAAAAAATCAGTTCAGAGGTTCAGGGCAGATCTTTGCCAGATTTTTACCCTTGACAGTATGGTGCACACGCTGCAGACGTTACTGTATACAAAGTCAGCAATGCGTTGCTCTGTTGTGTGTAGGAAAACGCCAGTCCTCCTTAGAAAAAAGTCTAGATACAAAAACTCCCACGGTATGCTCTTCAGCATGTTAAGGAAACTTTTATTAATGTTTGCAAGTAATCGAAGATGGAGGTTTTTGCCTGGGTGCTCACTCCAGCTCTTTCCTCCAGAGTGAAGCGTGTGACAATGAGAGCTCACGAGATCCGGATGGCTGAGTACAGCCCCCCTGCACGGAGGTGCTCCAGGAGCCTTGTTCTCCCCCCGCCCGAGCCCTCTCCCTTCCACCCCCTCTCTCCTCCAGCTGAACCCACTCCACACCCCCGACTGTCTTTACCTCTGGTCTGCTTTCGTTTAGAATCTCCCTATTTCTTTCCTCTCTGCTTCTGACTTAATCCTTTGCCTACTTCACAGGCCGATTCTTTGATGAGAATGAATCCCCTGTTGATCCGCAGCAGGGTTCTAAACTGGCAGATTATAATGGGGATGATGGGAACGTGGGTGAGTATGAGGCAGACAAACAGGCTGAGCTGGCTTACAATGAGGAAGAGGATGGTGATGGTGGAGAAGAAGACGTCCAAGGTGAGCTTGGGCCTTATCTCCATCCCATTGTGATAAAATCCACGCTGAGTTTACTTGTTGAATTTGTGTAAAGCCTCGCTATTTTTAGCTGATCACAAATTTCTAATGCAGAATAAAGCCCTGGTCAACCTTTAAAATTCGGTCTTGCTCCCCGTTTGAAAGCCCTGTTACAGCAGTTTCCAGCGAGAGGCTTTTGATACCCCATTTCAGTCGTGTATACAGTTTCTGCTAGGAAAATCAAGACACTTCAAATTTCAGAAATGGTTTTGTTTAAAACCCCAGATCTGCTATCTAGCTCATTGGGATGTAATCTTTGACATTACTAACGCCATTTTCAAATGCAGAAGTGCAGTTCTCCTGACTGCTGCTTTTGTCACACCTGCCTCGGGGCGGTGTGCGATGAGCTCCCCGTTAGAAATTCCGAGTGTCATTTTGGTGCGTTGTACACAGATTCAACAGGCTTCTGGTCTTCTTTGCTAACCAGACCTCAAGGCTCGTTAATCCGGTGCTAGCCTAATCACCTGTGCTTGCATGCTCGCCACCTCTTGTCCTGCATGCATTTCAGCGCGTCGCCTCTCCGTTGCTTGTCTGCCATGCTTCTGCCACGTTGTCTGCCGTTCTCCACCCAGCTGTTTGGTAATACTCTGTGAAAGGTTTGCATGTCCGCAGGGTGGAAATGTTGATGTGAATGTATCTAGTATTTCCAATTCAGGAAAGTGTGAAATAAACGGGGGTGGGGAGGTGGGAGGGGCAGAAATCAGCAATCCCGATTGAAGTTCTACAGGCACCCTGATTTTGATCCTCAAGTTTTTTAGCTGGTAGATTTTCAGGCATGTACTTAATTGTTAACCAAGCACAGTTAATGGGAATAGCTGATGGAAAGCAACTGATTCCTGTGGGTTTGCATCTAACTATGCAGCGTAAGCATTTTTTGGCTGGGTTGGTAGCTTGAAACTCATGAACAAGCCAAAGAAAAGCATGGATCAGAACACTGGGCAATCAATTAACTTGCTGATAAAAATGAAACTTCTGTTGCTGCTCGGGAAGATGTGGCCTGTTCTGTTACACTTCTGCTCAAAACTAGCAGCGGATTTGGGTCACGCTGGGTTGCTGATGGCCGCTCTTCTGGACAGGCGGTGGTTGGGTTGTAATTTGCCTGTGCACGCCGGCTTCCCAGTGAAGGCACACAGGCACACACAGCTGGCTCTGTCTGCTGGGGAAGTGGGGACTCGCTTCTCCTGGCCGCGGCCTTGCGGTGCCGAGGGCAGGGTGGCACACGGCGCGCGTCCGCGTGGCCACGCTCCGCTCCGCAAACCGAAGCACTTGGCCAGGTTGGCTCTTTCATGTTTTTCAGCTCGGCTCCCCCTAGCAGGCCGCGGGCCATGCCCGGTTCCTCCCACTAGTTCCTTAGCTGGGCTTCCAGCTGCCGTGCTGGATTTTCCAGCCAGGGCTGGGTGACTGCAGGCGAGTCTGGGGCAAGTGCCTCCATGGGGCTCGGGGCAGGAGCGGGCCGCCCCGCCGTGCTGCTGAGCTCTGGGCCCCTTTGCTGACCCACGCCCGTGCGCTGCGGCGGCTTTCCCGGGGAAACCAGTGCCCGGAGTTAGTGTCACGCGTGCCGTGACCGGCTGCTGGTGCGGCGTGCTCTCTGCCACCTCCAGCGGGTGGGTGTGGTGTAGTAGCCAGTGGTGGAAGAGTGTTCGGAACCGTAGAGATTGTGCTTCTGTAGCTTGCTATGCAAGGGATATTTTGGAAAAAAAAAAAACAAACAAACAAAACAAAACCAACCAACCAAACAAAACAACAAAAAAAACCCCACAACCAACCAAAAAAACCCCAAAACAAACAAGCAAACAAAAAAAAACCCCAAACAAACTTCTAACTGAGCGTGGCCTCCTAAAACTGTTTGCCATTTAGATGTGGTACCTGTCAGTTTGCTGCTCTGGTGGCTTTAAATTTGGACTTGGTGAAAGTATTTTTTTTTTTATCAACCCCTCTGTATACCTCTGTAGACATAATGGATTTAATGTCTGGTAGTAAAGATTGGAGCGTGACTTCTGGAAGCCTTTTCATAGAGAACAGTCTGAGCAGCGTATGCTACTACCTCAGATTTAATTTTTCAAGACCTTTATTATGTTGTTTCCCAATAACTTGTTGACTTGGTTTGATGGAAGGCAGACGGCGTGGCAGGCGGTACTCTCAGAAGTAGCATTTTGGAAAAAGTGTCTGCTTTAGTCTTTACGCTAATTTGTTTGTAGTGTCGGAGAGAAAAGAATCGTGGGAGTTTGGAGGGAGGGTGGTTATAATTGTTTAGGGAAGTAAAAAAAGCCCTGAATTTCTGTGTAAAAACTATTAGAAAAACATCACATGATTTTTGCATTGGGCTGGAACAAAGCACGTGGCATGTGCAAACAAAGCAATTGAATTAAACATGTTCTTTCTGTTGCCACTAGAAGCGTGTGGGCCTTAGATTGAAATTATCAGAGGAACACACACACGTTTGAGCTCATGAGAACGCCGGTATCCAACCCAGCACTCCTCCTCCCAGCCCACCTGTTTGAAGCACAAGGTGGTGCTTAAAAGTTGCTGGCTTCTGCCGCAGTACATACGGTTTGGTGGTGGCCGGGTGGCAGAAATCAAGTGATACCCAGGTGCTGCATTAGTCGCTCCTTACCAAACGCACGTAGGTGAGCTCCAGCCTCCCGGTGCTGGGAGCAGGTTCCCGTGGGGTCCCTCCCTCCCGTGCAGGCCGATGAGTAACCGCTGGAAAGCGCAGAAGCTACGGGCGGCTTGTTGCCTGGTAGAAGACTTGGTGAGGTTAAACTGTGCTTTCTGTTCTGTGAACAGGCATCCTTCCTGAATATGAAGGAACGCGGCTTCCAAAGGCAGGAAAAGCTTGTTAATTGAAACAAACTGAAGTTTTGGGGCTTTATTGCTTCCTGAGGGAAGAAAGCTGGGGACCTACACAGGGGGGATCTGAATTATGGCCGGCAGAATGCAGAATGGTAGAATATATTTTAAAGTACCATTTGAAAAAAATACCGAATGTGTATTTTCTCAATGGATTTTTTCGCATATGCTATCGTAAATGGTTATGCTGAGGATGCACAAGTGTGGGTGTTTTTATTTTATTTTACCATTTTCGTGAGGCTCAAAAACCAAAACCCAAGGAGCAGGAGTCAGGAAGTAGGACAGAGCAGAGAGGTGGAGACAGCCAGTCATTCGGGATCTGAAAGACCAGCTAAAAACCTCTTCGTCCTCCCAGTCCGGGACGAAGCTGTGCCCCCATGACCCCGGGGGGGGCAGCGCTGGCCCTGCCCGGCCCCCGCCCCGGGCTGAGGATGCCCAGTTCTCCCAGTTCTCCCAGTTCTGCGTCCCGACTGCTGCGCGGGAGCGGGGCTGGCTGGGTTTGTGGGGGCTGGGGAGGGCGGCGCTGAAAAACGGCTTGGTGATTCTTCAGCAGCGGGGAGAGAAACGGGGATTTCCACTGATGCGAGGTTGGGAAAGGTGGAGAGCTGCTTTTTACATGCTTGTTTTTGGAAGCCTCTCTTCAAATTTTACCCTCAAGTCTGAGATGTGAGGTGGCAGTATGTAAAAACGTTGACAGCAAAGTCAATTCCAGCATTAGTAAAAATCCCATCACTGAAAAATGTGCTGTGCCACGTTTGCGCGAAAGGTATCACCTTTCAAATCCACAGAGAAGGTGGGGAAGGTATCCCCTCAGCGTGGAGGGGGCCTGCTGCCTCCGCTGTGCCAGCCCCGCGAGGCACCCAACCTTTGCAAAATCCGACAGTGGATTAGTTCTGGAACGGGTGAAAAAACGGCCCCGTGGCTTTTCCAAAGTAGCTGACTTTGTAGTTGGGCTTTGCGGGGAGAGGTTGAAATCTTTACGGGCGGGTTCTCCACGTGGAGCAGTGGGCCCAGGGAGTTCTGCGATCTCTTCAGTCAATGGACGGCTGCAACAGGGTGGGAGGGAAGGGGGAGGCGCTGCCCCAGCTGCTGCCAGCACAGCCCGGGGGGCAGCCGCAGGCCGGGGCCCCCCCTCCCCTCCCCTCCCCTCCCCTCGCGGGGTCCCTGCCCGCCCCAGCGTGCTGGGGAAGCGCTCGCCAAGGATTTTTGTCAGTAGTGTCGCATCAGGTTTGACGGGCGTTATTTGAATTGCAGATGATGAAGAGAGAGACCTGCAGAATGACCTGGTGGATTATGGCAAGCCCCGCTTCAGCGACGGCGTGCTTTGAGGCGTGAACGAAGCGGGAGACGTGGATGGGGAGAGATCTCAACCGCGGAACTTGAAGTGCTGCAAAACTGAACCATTTTTACTTTAGTGTTTCTTACTTTAAAGGAGGCTGGTAACAAAACGCGACGAACGTACTCAAAGTCAGTGAAGTAGCAGAAGGAAACAGTCCTGTACATATGTACATAGTTGTACTATTGCAAATTGTATTAAAACCACATTTTTGTTGTTACATTGAGCCAATTAGACTGTACCTTATCTGTAATAATCTTTACATTTAGAACCGGTATTATAAATACGGGCTGACTTGTTTCTGCAATTTAGAAAACTTTGTAAACTGGAGAACTTGTACAGTTTGTATCTCATGTAAGAAATACACTGTGGAAGCAATGTACAGCCAAAGGACTCCTTTTCTACAGTAATACCTGTATGAGCAAAAATACTCCTGCTTTCCTCATGAGTGCCGTGTTTTTGTATTTTGCAGGTGAGCTAGCGGTTGAGAATGAAAACTGAACGTTTAAAACCTTGCTCCTTCCTTAATGTAACTGAGGGAAGGCTATGACAGTCTTCGGAAGCAAATACCGTTTCAATTCTCGTATCCAACGACCAAATCTCGTAGCTAGAGCTGGAAATCGGTGGTCTTAGAATCTTAAGAATTTGATACATCCTGAAGAAGCCGTGCAACTAATAGCTTATTTTAAAAGGTAATCTAAATAATTCAGCGGAGCTTGCAGGAGACCTTTGGGCATGTGCTGAAGAGAGCAAGTGTGTTAGCGCGGGCGAGGGCCCAGCGCTCGCCCGTGCGGGCGTCCCGCTGCCCCGCCAGCTCCCTCCTGGCGCAGCCGCGCCGCTTCAGTTGCAGTTTAATACCTCGACGCAGGTCTCTCAACGTCCACCGCGTTCCACGTTTTGATTTTTCTATAGCGGAAGGTTTGTAAGTTAGATACTTTTTCTATTCTGTGTTTAAGCACTTTCTGAATTTTACGGAAATGATTCTGTGGATCTAGTCGTGGAAATTACGATTATTAACCCAGCCTGCTTCTCCACAAGGGCTACTGTGACAAGAAATTACCGGGCCTCTGACATGGGTGATTGTACTTTCTCTCTGTACTCAGGTTCCAGTTGGAAGTACCAGTGCAGGTTTGCTTGATGCCTAGTTGGTGGACCTTTTCAATAAATTTCAACGGTCATACAATTACGTTTTTTTTTTTTTTTTTTTTTTATGGCTACAGCAATCTTCTACCAATACGTCTTAAATATACAAGAAATAAAAATTCCAGATTCTGGCAATGCATCTCAAGGGTTTGGTTATTTTGTTTCAGGCTTGTGCTCTTCATTCCCTACTCCTGGGAGGCGGGAGGGGGGGAACAGCCCCTTGCAGGGTGTGATGTACTTTCAGTTGCAAATAAAATGCTGAACCTGCTCAGAATTAGATGCCGTACTAATACCACAAGCCGAGTATAAACTTGTACCAGGACTCTTAAGAATAGCAGTCTTCAGTAAATACTGTATTTAAATACTACAAATTCTTTTGTTTGTCTTAAAATGTAATTTCACCCTGAATTAGGTGTTAACTTGATTCTTCTAATGAAAGCAACATTTATGGGTTCTAATAAATTGTTTAAAGTATGTGAGGGTTCTTGCTTTTTTTTTTTTTTCCTTTTTGACTTTTTAAAATTGGATTACCTTTGAGCCTCAGCGCAGCCGGGCTATTTTGACAGCTGTATTTTTACAGCTTTTTCTCAGGCGCGGGGTGGTACCAGCCTGTGCTCCCCGGCTGTCCCCGGGCCAGCCCTCTGCTCCAGTGCTGCTCGCGCGGCTCTCTGAGAGCCCCGGTGCTGGCTGGGGGGACGTGCTGCTTCCCCCCCTCGCCCCCCAGCCCGGCTCAGCCATGGGGCTGCCCCCTGCCCGGGGCTGTGCCGAGGGGCCAGCGCCCGTCGTCCCACCCAGCTCCGCTCCCACGCCCCGAGCCAGCCTGCTGCCGCCTCTCCCCCCGGTGCTGGGCTGGGCAGAGCCACAGTCAATCAACTTTCGTCTTCTAGAATGGGGAAAGCGCCTTAGTTCTTTGGATCTGGGCGAGCGGGGCTGTGGGAAACACACCGAACCCGCCCCCTTCCACCCCAAAAGCAGAACGCGCAGGGGGCGCCGGGCACCCCGGGAAACGAGGCGGGGGATTCCTCAGGGTGTTCCGACCTTCCCCGCGCCCTGGTTACTTCTGCGTGTGGGGCCGAGCGCGGTTACCTGGCATTTCTAGACAAAAATCCCGTAGCGGATGGTAAGACGCTGGGAACAAGGTGAATTTTATAATTACAGTTTTGTTATAACTATTATATGCAAAATCAATTTCTTATTACTTGTAACTTCTCTTGCTGTTTTCTCGTGTGCCCCAGGCTGCCTCTTTATACTTAGAACGGTCCCAAGTTTTGTTTCTTTAGGTTTAATGATAGTAAAAACCAAAAGGCCCCTCATCCTTGCTAACCCCTCACCCCTGAATCTCCTGGGGGGGCCCCGGGTTGGTCCGAAGGCTCCGGCTGGGCTTGGGCAGTTTGAGGTGGCACCGACCGGGCGGGAAGGCCGCGCTCTGCGTCCCCCCACGCCGGGGAGCACCCCGACGTCTGCACCCCCACTACCTGCAGGCCAAAATGGGGTTGGTAAGACGAAAGAAACAAACATTTGGGGGGATTTTTTGTACTGCTTGAAGATGGTAAAATGGCGAAATACCAGCCCGGATGGCCCCGTGGTCTCAAGCAGGACGCTTCCTTCTTGTGTTTTTCTGTTCTATTCCTTGAGAGATTGATGCAGTTTTGTGGCTTATTTCCCCATCAGCCAAGGAAGCGGGAAGTACAGAGTTCAGGAGGAGACACGTGTGTGTCTGCCCTGGAAGGTGATTTTGTCTGGTCGGGTTGGTGCCTCCTTGGCGGGAGCAGCGCTGCTGCTGCTGCCCCCCCAGCACCCAGCGAGCCTGGGCACCGGGCAAACGCTGCCAGTCCCCTCTGCCAGGGGAAGGGCACGAGGAGACTCAGGCAGCAAACTGCACGCAGGAGCTGGAGGCTTGTTTTGCCTCTGTATTTTGGGAAAATACTTGGCTTAAGTATAGCCCATATAGAAACACAGTTTGATCTTAGTGGGTATCCTTTTAAGGAATCTCATTTCAGTCACTAAGCACTTCACCCTTCATTATTTAGTGATCCAATGTTTAAAGAATTTTATTTCTAAGGGGAATTGTTCTGTCAAACAAATTCCACTTCGGTTAAAAAAAAAATAAAAAAAAAAAAGCCTGTGTTCTTTTGGGAAACTGCCAATGTTTTTAGAGCAACGTTCCCTGCTTTTTTTTTGTGTTGTTTGTAGGTGGCTTCCTTACCGCTGTTTTTGGAGCCATCCCCCCTCTCCCACACGCGGCTCCCGCTGCTTCCTCCACCCCACCACTCAGTCCCGCGCCACCTTCGCCTTCCCATTTCTCCTTCAGGCCTGTGGTTCGGCCTCGCTGCCTTCCTCCTCCTCCTCCTCCTCCTCCTCCTCCTCCTCCCCGGCGCAGCCCCTCCTGTCCCGCTCCGCTCCGCGCTTCCAGCGCCTCTTCAGCCGGGAGCCGCCGCTCTCCAGGGCTCAGGACATTCCATTCACAGCGAAGGCAGCACCTACCCCCAGCCTGAGCTGGAAAAGAAATGTCTCCATCAGCCAGCTGAAGACGCGAGACAACAGGTAAAGGCATCTTCACTTTTCAGGAATCCCTGGAGCTCCTTGTCCTCAACTTCACGTGGGATTTGTTCTGTACAGCATCCTGGGAAGCAGCGAGTCCCGCTGCTGTAATCCTGTTCTAAAGTGCTGCAGCAACGCTGAACCGGGGTAACTGCTTGGGCTGCAAGTTGGCTATTCCTCAAGCAAATGTCCCCAAAGGCAAAGTAGCCAGAAACACGGGCCTCGCTTCGTTTTTACCTGCTGCTGAAGATTACAAACCCACAAGTTATCAGTCCTGTGTTTCGTGGGCCACTCTGTATATTTTTAACAAGTGCAGTTTGCCGACCAGCTGAAATCCAACACATATTTCACCTCTTGCGAGGAAGGCGGAGGCCTGGAGTGGTAAAACTCTCGTTGCCTTTAAGTTCACAGAAAAGCACGTGCTGAACAGAACGCAATAAGTGCATGTTTTTCTAATAAAGGTCTATCAAACACTAGCCCACTTTTAAAAAACATGAATTTAAGATATTAATGACTGATCTGCTGATTCACGTGACTATACCTAATATATTCAACAGACAGGTTCTGTCTGGCACCACTATCGGTGCTTATGACTAGAAATAAGAATGACTAACCTAGCTTGATTTTGTTTTTTTCAAATGTAATTTTGAAATCCCGATGCTGTTTCTGCTGAGCCAATACCTGTTTCCATGGAAATAGCAGCACACAAAACGTTGACATATTTCAGAGCGAGCGAGCTACTTCAACATCTGCTTCCCTGCAACCACCAGCTAGACTTTCAAATAAAACTGGCTCTCACATTTGGTGGAACTGGTTTACAAGAAAAATCAAACAAAACATCTTTACATGACGGCCCAGCCCAGATCTTTTCAAACAATATATCCCGACAGCTCAAGCGGCACACAGCTCCTTGAATTCCTGGTTTAAGGCTGGCGTTGTAACTAACCCTTCGTCTACCTGGCAATGCATTTAAGGAATGGTCTGAAAAAAAGCAGCTAATAGGACCAACAAACCTTTCTGTATCTCTTGGTCCCGTTTTTGGTACCCGTTTCGAAGGGCCTCCCACCCCCTGACACCGGTGCGCCGCGGAGCGCGCGGCACGGTCACTGCCGGGAGAAGCTGTCAGCGCGGGGGAGCCGGCGAGGAAGAGAGAACTCGGGCGAGATTTACTCGCCAGCAACCGCTGCAGCCCGCCGGGCACACTGCCCTGCCTGAAGCCATGCTCACTGAACTTTACACAATTCTTTAAATTGGAAGAAAAAAAGGAAAAAAAAAAAAAAAAAAAAAAAAAAAAAGGCATCAGCTGGTAAGAGCGGTAGAGCGTGCTTTATTTTGACTGTACTGGAAAACCAACATTATTTCAGTGATTCCTTTTTTTTCCTGAATGATTTCTGATTAGTTCATTCTTTTCCCTACACTTACTTTTTCAGCCCATAGAGAGTAACAGCTCCACCCTCACGTAACCCTGCAAACACACCAAACTGGGTGCAGTGGATTTGCTGGAAAGCGGGCTGCCTACTGACTCGAGATGAAAGGGAAGGAGAAAAAGCACCGCTCAGAGGCACCACCAAAAAAAAATCCACGTGCCCGCTTACGGTTTTCCCCGCTCTGCATCCGAGCAGCCTGTGTTCACTTGTGAGACACCGCTGGCCAACAGCTTCGTTCCTTCTTACAGACATCCTGTATTTGGAAAAGTGGAAATAATTTTCCCGAGGTTGAAGAGAACAGACCCGAGGTCTGCCTCCACCTCTCCGTCCCCCCGCCCTCGGCTCGTCCCAGGCTCTTCAACCGCCACAGAAACCTTCGGGATCGCAATTCCACGAGCTTTTAAAGAAGAAAAGCTGGGAAATCTTACCTGGCAAACGGTGGAGAAATGGGTGGTTTATGAAAACATTAAGCAGCACACGATACAACGTTTTGGGCCCAATTTAAGTTTAAGAACCGTGGCTGTTGGCATTAATAATTACAACCGAAAGGTCACAGAGTTCTTGCTCTGTAGACTGGGCATTCTTACCTCTTCCTGGCATGTTGTCTAGATACAGAGCTCTGTGTGCAAGGGTGAGAGAGATGGTTCCCAAGTGTGCAGAATTTCATCTGCTAATAATCTTCATACAAAAACTCAGGAAATTGGACAAGAGAACATTAACTCGGGCCGTGTCTAACGCATTTTTTCAAATGTTAAACACACTCCCACATAGAGCTGTGATTAAGTCCACAGGAAGGACACTTGCATCAAGAATCTCACTTTCTGAGTATCTAAAAAAAAATTACTTTAAAAACATAAGGAACATCGTAACATCATAATTTTTCCTTTTGCATTTATACTTTTGTAAGTAACTGCCGCAACATCTGAATCCCTGTCGGGGCTAGCAGTGACCGCACACATAGTTTGAATTATCCAAATCATTTTGCAACGCATTATACCATCGCAGAAGTTCGATGAAGGGCTAACCCAAAGACTCGATTCTCCGCCACATTCCCTACACTTCATTTTTCAATCTGCTAATCAGAATCATACTGGAAGTCGTAGTAACTGGGAACCCAGTTATTTGGAGAACAGAAAGCAGACGCACACCCGCAGTTCGCGGCGCTAAGCTCGTCTCTGGCACAAAGGCTTTGTTTGATTCACCCCCCTCAACTCCGGGCACTTAGCAGGGAGAATGTGCGAAGCGTCCGATTGTCCTGGGTTTCTCATTACGGTTTACGGGGAGGAACAGGCTCCTCCAAACAGAGATTCAGCTCTCCTGGTGTCGCTGGGGCGGGGGGCTCCTGACTGGGGCTCATTCCGTTCCCTGCCCCCAAACCGCGCCGGAGCTTGGGGGGCGGGGGGCTACGAAAAAGTGAAGAGCTGCCCAGGGTAGCCGGTGCGAAGGCAGCCGCCCGCCCCCCGCCAGGAGCAGGACACAAAGCCCAGGTTCTGGCACCCGGGCAGTTACAAAGCTAACACAGACGGCGGCAGCAGGGCTACTGGAAGAATTGCTCTGAACGTATTCTGAATTGCTTGCACCCATTTTAAACAGGGTGATCTCCACCAATGTTTTAATTAAAGAGCAACAACGCTTCACAGCTTCGAAGCACAGCACAGATACAACCTAATTACCGTGTAACGACTGCGCGAGGAGGTTTAGGAAAACACTGAATTCCTCCAACACCAGGAGTCGATACCATATCAAAGACAAAGAAAATTCTTGCAGTTGTCCCATTTCCTAAAGATTTCAAATGCAAAATTACAAGAGAACAAAACACCTATACACTTTGCATAAATAACCAAACTTTAAAAACCCTAATTATAAAGGCTATACTTTGAAAGCACTCACAAGTCCGTGTAAATGAATACTGTGATGCCAAAAACATTTTGCCCAAGGTTAAACCGAGAAAATACATATTCCCAAGCCATTTTTGATCAGCAAGTGATTGCAGTACTTTGTTTTTATGCCCAGCCCTGAAGAGAAATCTGACTTGAAGAGACATTAGCATACAAATGGAGTATGAACTTTCAAAGCTTATGCAACTCTTACTCCATTACAGACAGCTCAAATCAATTGCGTTGTTAAAAATCTGAAAATAAATCTTTGTTCCAGTTTAAAATATGAGTACTCCCTTATACCTCAGAGACACACATGAAATTTGAAGCTGGTAAAAATTCAGCTTGTTGAGGAGGGGAAAAAAAAAAAAAAAAAAAACAACCACCAGAACTCACTTAATGTTCTCTCTGCCACGGTTATTTCCCTCCCTCCCTCCCCTCCTCCTCACTTCAATGTTCCTTTCTCTCTCTCTCTCTCTCTCCCCCCAAAAAAGGGATGGAGAGAAGGAGACTCAGTTTTCCTCTTTAAGATGACTTGATTCAGTCTTCAAACCTACTAAGTGTGAAGTTAGAGGGGTGCCCATCCTGCTTAGCGGGAAAAACCTCAGCATAGCCATGACAACATAAATTCCAAGTACCTCTGTAAGGAATGGAAGGAAAACAATTAACAGTGAGCTGAAGACTTTGCTGCCAAGACTGAAGGATGATTTCAACACGTATGAGAAATGCAGGCACCTACAATGAACAGGCAAAGAAATAACTCCATTTACCCTAGTTAGTCCCAACTCTCCAGTTTTGTAGGTTTTCAGCAAACAGGCTTTGCCAAAGCTTTCCCCAAGTGACAGGGATCCCACAAAAGCTAGGACTTGCGGATGAACCTATTTTAATTTAACTATTAGGAAAACCAAACTGATGGGTAGTAGCTTACCAAAAGGTAAAACGCAGTTCTATATGAAACAAATTAAAAATAACCCCATTTTTCAGAATTTTAATAGCTGCAAAGAACATTCTGCTTAAAATACTTTGAAGGCTAAAGTGACAAGATGAAAACAGATACTAAATAACTCCTGGTGTATGTATTTTATTGAATGTTATCGTTTTACATTTTCACACAGACAAAATCATAAACAGTGAAAAACCCAAAGCCTGCAGAACAAAAGATCTCTTGTAAGCAAGTATTTTGCAATAGAACATTAAATGTTTTTGGTGAATCACAGCATGACTTGCCTGGAAAATACACAAGGTTGACAGACTTTACACACGCCGTCACGCACTTCTGCTTCAGTTTAACATCGATCCATGCAGCAGACCCTCTGCATAAACAATTTTTGAAAACTCAATTATAAAATGCTACATTAAATCTCCCTCCCAAGTCAGTGTACGAGCTGCCAAAGGCCAAACCAGTACTAAGAGAGGAAGAGGAGCCAGGTCTTATCTGTGGCTTTATGGTACCTCCACTCGCTGGGCACTTCTCCGCGCACACAACCAGCTCCTGCTCACTTCACACCCCCGGGGGTTTGCCTGGACAAACACCCGCCTGGTGTGTGCGGGTGCTGCGGGGAGAACTCGCCTCCGCTCCACAAGGTCACTCCCAAAGATCTAACAGCCACTAAAGAATTTACATACTTGTACACGCCCCGACAAAACATGAACAAAAGGGATTTCTTCAACCTCCACATGCGACAAGAAAAGCCCAAATTTCATTTGAACTCCTTCCTGTCGTTTTATTACCCTGCTGTGGTTTAACCCCAGCCGGCAACTAGGCACCACGCAGCCCCTCGCTCGCTCCTCCCAGCCCCCGTGGGACGGGGAGCAGAACCGGAAAAAAAAAAAAAAGAGTAAAACTCATGGGTTGAGATAAGAACAGTTTAATCATTCAAATAAAAATAAAATACAATAATAGCAATGAAAACGAAGATAACGAAAAGTGAGAAATAAAAGCCAGGAGGAGACAAGTGATGCCCAGTGCAGTTGCTCACCAGCCGCTGACCGATGCCCCAGCAGCGATCCGCCCCTCCTGGCCAGCCCCCCAGCTGATCTACTGGCCATGACGAGCTGTGGTATGGCACAGCCCTTTGGCTAGCCGGGGTCAGCTCTCCGGGCCGTGCTCCCCCCCAGCCTTCACGCTGGCAGGGCATGAGAAGCTGAAAAATCCTTGACGTAGTATAAACACTACTTAGCACCAACTGAAAACATCAGCGCGTTATCAACATTATTCTCATACTAAATCCAAAACACAGCACTGTACCAGCTACTTGGAAGAAAATTAACTCTGTCCCAGCTGCAACCAGGACGTACCCTAAATCTGTGTTTTTCAGGTGGCAACAATAAAATTGTTAGTACACAGAGCCCACTGTTAAGCTTGCTCAAAACACCTGTGTATTATCAACACTGGTGGCACATCCTCAAAACAGTGAATCAACAAAACTGATCAGCAGCTGTCAAAATGTTCTTGCATGTTGCCAAGGCAAAGAAATGTATATAATGGAGTGCACAAAAGGTTTTCTTCTATGTAAACGTATTTAATATCATTATTTTGTTTGCATATTGGAGAAAAATTGGATCAAAAAATGCTATTTTACTTGAAGCGAGGTTTCTGAGGTCCCGAGTTCTTAACAGAACCCATTATCTCACTGTTCAACACCAGCCTCTAAAGAAATTCTGTATCTGACAGCTTTCTACTTTATCCATATTACAGAGAATTTCAGCATACCATAAATCCAGCTGGCAACTGCAATCCTTATTCCAGGACATATACGGAACTTTAAGTAACCCGTGACCCAAGTATGTAACTTTAACTTAAAGTACTTTAGCTTAGTTTTTGGGGGGAGAACGACCAGAATATTTAACAGGATCAAAAATCTTGCTGCAATAAACTAGCAAATGTGAGATTGGGTGCTTTATATCACTGTGGAGAAACAGCACCGCGTTCTGCCGTACCTAGAGCTTTCCAGCTGATTCCAGGACTAAGGAGACCGTGTTTCTCTAACACAGCACTGTTTTAAATAAAATAGAAAAAACAAGAAGCAAACCAACTGGGGGCATGTATACCTATTTACGAGAATGCAGTGGAATTTTCAAGCCAGACAGAAACAGAATAATGATATTTATGCAAGAACCTCGTGCCACTATAGACACCATAATATGGTAATTCCTCAACCTGTACCAAACTCTCCCCGTGTAGCCCCAACAGGATTGCTAGTACAGACACTCTGTAGTTTAACTTCCTAAATCTGAACTTGACCACTCGTGGATGTGTCTTCCTCTCCCCAGAGGACTGTTTCATGGCAATCGTCAACGATGCACTGTGCTAGATCAAATATACAGAGAGGTTCATTTAAATTTGTGCTCGCCTTTGTTTCTGCGGGGGGGATACGGTACCATATGAATTCCCATTCCTGTCAGCTGAAGTGTCAGCAGCGAGAACAGCAAGTCTATAGCTGCTCCTGGACAGACAGATTGGATCACAGACGTCTAGGCATGAAGGAGCAAGCATAGCCTGCTAGCTGCTTCTCATTTAAGTCAAGTGCATGGTTCTGTTTACCTATTAAACAAAATTTATTCCCTTCAGATAGGCAAAAGAAACAACAAATACTGGAAATAGGTAATTTTAAAAATATAAACCCAAACAAGAATTGTTTTGTTTATACAACTCTCTCTCAGTCATGTCACAGTTGTTTTCGCTTTGGCAAAATAAACTAGATTGAGCCGCTGCGCTCAGAATACCAAGTGGGATCTGGAAGAAGGATGCTGAAATACTAGAGAGAACTTAAAGGAAGACCCCTACCCGGCCAAATTGTCCTGGGAATTAAACCCTTTCCCCTTGAAAAAGCAAAGCCCACCAGGCAAGATTTAGGATTTCAGCTTATGAAACAGAATTCTGAGGGATGCACGTGGGTCCTGACACATGGAACTCCAGCAGAGCGTGGCTTTTGAACCTTGCTGAGAGGCGCTAGATGCAACAGCTGGAAGTGAAACTCAAATCTGAAATGAAATACAACCCCTAACTGCAGATATTGGAAACAGCTTACCAAGAGAAACTGGTGGACTCACCGATGCTTAATCTCTACAACAAACTGGGAAGTCACTCTAAAGCACATCATTTCAAACAAGCATCTAAACACAAAGCTAAGGAACTTGGAAGAAAAAAACAAAAAATAGAGAGGAAATCACAAAACATGAAGAATGGCCTTTCAAATGAGCACTCAGAGTACACCATTCCAAGAATGTGCAACATTCTGGCAACTATACATTTTTTTCCCTTCAGTTTCTCTGTACAGTGAAGAAAACACGCACCTAGAATATCTCAGTCTGACAGAGTGCCTGAAATCCAGTCAGGGGAAAAACCCACTGCTGCCAATACACCAGCCTTTTCTTTGAACCAAATACACATTCAGAGCTGCTAACGCTTCGTGTGCACGCAGGCAGACCCGGCACTACTCAGCGTTTTTACATTTTACACGCACGCAGAGCAAACGCTCTTTCCATGGTATACATTATAATGTGGGGAACAGGTTGCAGCAGGTGGACCTTTGAACTTTTGCCTTCACAGCAACATCAATTAGCAGTATGATCTTACATATTCCCACCTGACATGTGGCAAAGCTCACAATCCTGCTGGCCCAACACCCTCTCCCTGGCACGGCTCAGAACCAGGCAACTCGGGGACAGCACAAGACCACTGTGAGAGACATACTTCATATTCTGTAAAGCAGAAAAGTAGAGTTCTCCTTCCCATAAAGATTAGTTTGAACCCTGAGTCATATGCTTTAATCTCTCTTCTAAATGTTTGGGTTTTTTTTTTTTTGGCTTTCATTATAAATGCACTAGGCCATTTTGGTATTCATACAAATATCTGCTTGCTTTGAATCTTGCTGAATGATTTCCTCTGGCAGCCAGTTTCTTTCTAATTACATGGTTTGAAAAAGTATTTCCACCTACCATTTTTCAAAACCCCCACTTTCTAAGTACCAGTGAATGTCCTTTTGGGTTTATACTATGAGACATCACAAAGTTATCTTGCCATACTAGTTCCTCTTAATGGACTGACAAACAATCTTAATTAAGTTTTAACATGTCTAAGCTAACCTTTTTCATAGCTGATCATACAAAAAATATTCAAGTGCTGTGGTTAATGAGTGTGTTTAGAAATACTTTAATGCTCTGAAGGAATAAGGCTACCTGTTCTGAATGAGGACCACACTGCTTCCACTGCCTTTTTATTACCTCTTTTCTTAAGAAATCATGGTAAAATTAGCTTTATATTGTCTTTCGCTAAAGAATACTACAGTCCTGTGATAGAATTCTAAAACAAATCCTGGTTTCACAGCAGCAGATGTGGTTCAGTTTAACAAGCCAATAAATATTTTAAGTGACTAGAGAGCTGGGACTCTTATAATATAATCCAGGTTTAAAGCTAAGAAGGGAGTCAACAGGTACTACAAGAAGAAAACATCGAATACCTGTGTGGGTTTCTGCCTACAGCTAAATTAGAGAACGTGGATACAAGCGACTTTTGTAAAAGCATTCCATTTTGAGCAATACCTCGAGAAGTTATCCTAATGTCGTAACATGTGTTCGCCTGAGAACTGAAGATTGCCGTTTAAAAAGCTTGGTGGATAAAAGTGATCACCGGCAGAAAGAAAAAGGAGACACACACAAGTTCAGTGGGAGACAAATTAAAACTCTTAGCTTCGCTACATCCTCTTACGCTTTGCTGCATGAGGCGGTCAAGCTGCTTTATCAAGACACTCGAGCAGTAAAGAATGCGGTGTCCTCAACTTTTCACACCGAAAGTAGCTGCCTAACGGGGGGGGGGGGGGGGGGAAGAGAAAGTGGAAATAAAACTTCACGCTAGCCTCCACAGGCGTCTTAGAAGAGCAGCTCGGACCGCAAAACTAGCACTGCCCTCTGTGCTTTGGAGAAGGTGAAGCGACGTAACCAAGGGCCCGAGAACGGCCCAGGTCAGGGGAGCGGGCAGCACCGGAGCCCCGCCACGGCCGAGGGGAAGGCGGCTGGGCTGCCCGCGGGGAAGCGCCGGGGCCGGCCGGACCGGCGACCGACCTGGGGAAGCGCAGGAAAAAAACGCTACTCCCGCCCGCAACCGCGCCGCTCCGCCGGGAAACCCTCCCGAGCGGCCGCTGCGGCTTCCCCGAGCGGCGCCCGCCTCCTCCTCCGGAGCTGGGGCGGGTTGGACAACCGGCCCCCCCCCCCCTCACCCACCCCGGGCCCTGCGGCTCCGCTCCGCGAAGAGCTGCCGCGACGCGGCCCGGCAGCGACCGCCGCCGCCCCTCACCCTCAGGGCGGCCGCCCCCCCCCCCGTCCCGCCCTTCCCTTCCCCTCACAGCTCGCCCCTCGCCTCACCTCGGGCACAAGCGCCAAGCGAGCCGGGCGGCCGCCGCCTCCTCGGCCTGAGGCACCGCCGGGCGCCCGAGCCGCAGCCTCCCGCCCGCCGCGGCGGCTCCCGGCCCGGGGAAGAGGCGGCCGAGGCCTCTCCCTCCCGGCAACCCCCCGCCCGCCGCGCCAGGCCGCGGCTTCCCTCCTTCCCGGCCTGCCCCGGCGCCGCCGTCCCCGGGCCCCCCTCCCCCGGCCGGGCTGCGCCTGCGCGGCGGCCCCTCTCCCCATCCGGGTCCCTCCGTGCGGTGTAGCAGGTCGGTAGGCGGGAAATGGCGACTGGCTGCTGAGCGGCTGCGGAGCGCGGAGCCCCGGCGGCGGTGTAAACACAGCGGCGCCCGGCGCGGCCCGGCCGCCGGGGGAACCCGGACACCGGGGGCCCGGCTCCCCGGCACCCCGCACCCGCAAGGTAACCGAGGCGGCGGCTCAGCCCGCGCCGGGGTCCCAGCCCGGGATCAGGTGGGGAAGGCGAGGGGGTGGCCGCTCACGGAGTGACCGGCGGGAGCCTCCCCTCAGGGCCTGCCCCGCGTCCCCGCGCCCCGAGACACCCCGTCCCTTCCCTCCCTTCGCTCCCCGCTCACCTCCCCTGGCCGGCGGCGGAGGCCAGCCCAGCCCCGGCCGCGCAGCCACCCCACCCCCCCCACCCCTCCGCGCCAGCCCCCCCCGGAGGAAGCGGGGGGCGCGGCTGTCACCCCCGCGGGGACACCCCCCGCCCGCCCCTCTAGGCCGAGGCCTGCGGTGAGCCGCCCGCCGCCCCCCCCGCCCCGTCCCGGGCCGGCGGAGGGGCCGGAGCCCTGCGGGCGGCATCCCGGCTGCGGGCCGTGCCCGGCGCTGGCTCCCGCGGGGCGAGCGCGCAGGACGCGCCTGTTGCTGGATGTTGTTACCGCCGGGGCGGCAGCGCTGGACGGTGCCTGTCAGCGGCGGCGGGGGGGGGCTGCCGGGGCCCCGGGCGGCCGAAGGCTGCTGCGAAGGGTGTCAGCGCGGCTGGGCAGAGGGGAAGGAACGGCAACTTTGTCTGCTGTCACTTTTGGGGGGGGGGGGGGGGGGGGGGCGGGGGGGTGTACCGGCCGGTAACGGGCAGGACCACCGCCATCTCAACCCGTTAGCGGCATTCCCTGTCAATACGGGGAACGCAGCGTGAGGTGTTAGCGTGTTGCATACCACGTTGATGATCTGCTCGCTTTTGTGCTATGAAAGAGTACCGTACAAGCCTGTTACTCAATTTTATGGCACTTAGGAGCACAGGAGAGGAGGACAGGTCTCATTTGCGACTGTTTTGGTGAGCTCTAGCCTAGATCTGCCCAGGATGTATCTCTCTCTGCGTTGATGACTTGCGCTTGCTCTGATCCCAAGCCTATTGTTTCTGGTAGGGCTTTTTCATAGTCTTCCAGGTGCTTATGGTGCACTTTTAAAAGTAATTTTGAGATTGTAATTATTGGCTTTGCCTTTCTTGATAAGTTTCCACTGTTACAATACAGTAGTCCGCAAAGAGGATCTCTAAGTATAACTATTACTCTGTTGCCTTGGGCAAATCACAGCCTCTTTTGCCATTTCTCCATCAGTAAAATGGAGATAATAATACCTCGGAGAGTTGTTACAAGAAGTAGTTAATGTTTGTAGAGGGCTTAAAAGACCTAAGTGTTATTAATTAAGCCCCATGACACATTAAGGTAGGAGTTAGTGAACCAGGTTTACACATGGATGAACTGAGGCAGGAAGAGATTATGATTTAGCTGGAGTAACATATTGGATCTGTGACAATAGCAGAAAACAAGTTGTAACTACTTCACGCTGTAGGCACAAGCGAACAGTTCTACATAACAGATATGTTTCCAAGATTATTTGCCCATCCCTCACCCCCCGCTTCCAATTTCAGGCTTTTCTACTTCAGGAGTTTTTGCCTGTGTGACTTGCAGTTGACTGGATAGCTCCAAGGACACTTGTGGCTTGCCCACTTAAAAGTGTTTCAGCAGTTTTCATAACAAGATATATGTTCTAGGATGCAAGCCAAGTCCAGACTTAAATTCCATAAAACATTCTCCACTTTTCCCCTGAAAACATTGTGTGGAACTTAGTTAAGACTTGATCCTGTTCCAGTCAGTGGAGTATGCACTAAAGCTGACATTCCTGTTTCATCTGAGAGAGTTCTTTCATTAAAGAAAAAAGTCTCTTGTCAGTCTGTCCCAAAGATTTAATGGTACAATTAGATAATTTTTCTAAAGATGTAAACATTCCATATATGCTGGAGCTGTACATGCATTTTCATAATTTAAAGGTAATTTTCCATCTTCAGACTTCCACAAGCATTGCTAACTTCCTTCAACTGTGTTGATTCCCCAGCACACTGATGTGATGCTATTGCAGGCTGAATAGCATTAAGCAGCTAGTTACAAAAAAGGGAGTCTACTGAATTCAAAAGGAAACTTAGTCTTCATCTTAGAAAGTTTTCCATACCGTATTGCCTTTTATTTTCTTTGATTGCTTGTAAGGTTGCTGAGGTTGACACCAAGAAAAACAGTGTTTGCAGGAGACTTTAAGAATCACATTTTCTCTCTGACACTTTTCAATGCAAATATTTCATTCCCATAGAAGAAACTTTTTCATAAATGTAAGTGAAATAATAACTTGGAGTACTTGCACATGGTTGTAAGAACCAATACTGAAAGTCAAACTGAACTGTTTAGGCAAGAGCTCGCAAGAAAAGCTTGAGCAGGGGGGTTGGACAAGATGACCTCCAGAGTTCTCTTGCAACCTCAACCGTTCTGTGAGTATGTAAAAGCAGGATGTATCAAGTAGGACTGGAATTTGGCAGAAATTTTAAGTTAACGTGCATTTCTAGACATAGGTATACTCTGACAGGAGCTTGAGACTTCTTGCCCTTTTGAAGAAGTAACTGGAAGTTCCAGAACATCATCATGATAATTTCAGGATTACCGCTGAAGTCAGTGCAATTGTATAACTCTAAAATAGCTTTTTCCAGTTTATGGGTTTGCAGCTTTTCCCTGTTCAAACCCTGTACAGATTCTTCCCTACCCATGTGTTTTCAGCCTGGTCTCCCTAGGGGAGCCAGTTCCTACATATCATATTTTTTGGACTTTGATAATGTCAGCATTGGACTATTAGGATTATCCCAGGTTTAAAGGCCGTTGTCATCGGCCCCCCACACTCCCCCCGTGACTCCATCCTTATTCTGTACTTTCTCAGGAGCGTTCCTCTCAGACAAGTGCCTTTCTCATTCATTACTGTGAGTAGATCAGATATGACAGTTCTTACTCTTATTAGCCCAGAAAGTAAAGGACTAAGTCTGAATGAAATTCTTTCATTTGCTGGCATCTTACATTACCACTAAAGTGTTGGCACCAATCTCTTGTAAATTTTAAATGGAAGATTGTTTTTCATCTATTGTATATGAAAAGTTCATTTGATATTTAGGCATCCCAGTTAGGTCTTCAAAAAATGCAAATATGCACCGTAAGTGCATAGTTGATTAATCAAATTCATAATGGATTACAATTTTTAGGGGCAGACTATTTAACATGAATCATGCTGCTCTGATCCTGAAAGGGAACAGTAAGCTCTCTACAAGCTTGTTTAAAAAGAGTAGCTGTCTCGGGCAGGGATTTTGACAGCATCAGGCCCTATAGAGTACTTGAAACATAGGTTCATTTGCTGAAGCGTGGTGTTAGTTGTAGTGCAGTGTATCTTCTGATTGCTTGGAGGAGAAACTCCCATACACTGAGATACTCACTTGAAAGCCAGTGTAACATGCTGTTTACGTATTGAGTTGCCTAGATGGCCATTATTTAATATTTTAGAAAAATAAATATTTTACATTCACAGGTGAAGACATTTTCAATAGCACTTGAAAAATTAAGTGTGAAATCATCCACATCTGAAGCAATCAGTTTCAGGGGTTGGATAGTAGCTTCCCAGTTGGCAGTCTTAACTTTTTCTAAATAGATTACTTCCCAATCAGATCAGTTTCAGTAATTACTTTGATTAAGGTACTCTTAACTATGGAAAATAAGAAGTTCTTTCATTATACCTCATGATCCAAGGAACACACTTGACAGGACCATCTAGTATAAGAAAATAATGAGTTGAGTATCAGCCTGAAGTGTATTTTCACCTTTGCCAACACTGTTGGATGTGCGATCTGACATACGTCCTTTGTTGCCTCAGTTTCCCTATCTGATGGGTTAGTATTTATGGTAATACCGAGATCTGCGGACAAGCCAAAGGGAAGGAAATGTGCAGCCACTGGTGGACGGGATTAACTCAGCAGCCACATTGATCCCTGCTGTATTGTGACATAAAAAATACAGCTCCCTGTGGGGAAAGTTTTATGAGGGTCCAGCCCCATCAGTCAGATTTCTATGCACCTACCTAAAAATAACCCGAAAGCCAACATTTAGGAAGCTGCCTATCTGTTGCATTACATCTAATGAGGATCCTCTGTCCACTAAGGGATGCGGATGCCAGAGTTGCATATAAAAGAGATGATGGAAATTGAAGTTATCCCTCAGAGTCGAACTCCTGTCTGAATTCAGAATTTCTTTTTGTTGCATGAAGAATCTAGGTAGAAGGCGTAAAACACCTCTAGTTTTGCATTCATAATATTTATTGTAGCAGTGTAGGTTTAGGTATAACATTATCACGAAGATAAGTTTAACTAAAAGGAGCTGTTAACTCCACAGCATCTGGAAAATAAGCTATGCATACTTAAAGTAGCACAATGCTATATCCTACTATTCATCGCTATAAACCAAATGTAAGCAGGAGAAAAATTGTCTAAGACTTTGAAACATTTGGATTAGAACTTACCTATACATAAATTACTTAATTTTTATATATATAAGCACATGCAATGGCAACACAGCAGGAGTGCCATTATCAGCAGGGTGAGGCTAGGAAGGCGATACAGTAGGGCACGTTAGCATCCTTGGAGCCTCCTATGAAAGAAAAGGAACCTGTCCTTATTTAGGCTCTGTTTAGGAATAGCTAATTTAAATTAATAGGAACTCAGATCAAATCAGAGCAGTTGTTCTAAGCAATTTAGCTTTAGCTGCACTGGTTCAGTTTAAATCATAACTCAGTTTACTTTAGGCCATTCTAAAACATGATTGCTTTGATTCACCCTATATTTTAGGAGGTGCTAATTAGAGGAAGGTAGGTAATTCAATCCAAGGATTAGACTATACCACAAGGACTTTACTGGCACGGCAATCCCAGCCTAGTTAGTGGTAAAACCCCTACACACAGGGGATCCTTTTGCCAGCACAAGTTGCATTTGCACTTACTAGGAGGTTTGTTACCCTGGCTATATTTGACTAGGGAAAAATAGTATTTCCCCCTTCCTTTCACATTTCTAATGGGTAGAATTGCACTGGTAAAGCTTCTGGTTTAGAC